TGGGTGGATGAATGAGGGGTGGATGGGTGGGGAGTGGGTGATGGGTGGTGGGGTGGGTGGATGGTGGGTGAGTGAGTGAGTGGATGGATGGGAGGGTGAGTGGGGGATGGGGGGTGAGTGGGTGGATGGGTTGGTGAGTGGGTGGATGGGTGGGTGGGGGGGGTGAGGGGTAGATGGGTGGGTGAGTGGGTGAGTGAGTGGGTGGGTGAGTGGGTGGATGGGTGAGTGGGTGGGTGAGTGGGTGGGTGGGTGGTGAATGGTGGGTGGGTGGGTGGATGGATGGGGGGAGTGGGGGATGGGTGGGTGAGTGAGTGGATGGATGGGTGGGTGAGTGGGGGGTGGTGGGGTGGGTGAGTGGGTGGATGGGTGGGTGAGTGGGTGGATGGGTTGGTGAGTGGGTGGATGGGTGGGTGAGTGGGTGGGTGAGGGGTGGATGGGTGACTGGGTGGGTGAGTGGGTGGGTGGGTGGATGGATGGGTGGGTGAGTGGGTGGGAGGGTGGGTGGATGAGTGGGTGGATGGGTGGGTGAGTGTGGGTGAGTGAGTGGGTGGGGAGTGGGTGGATGGGTGGTGTGAGTGAGTGGGTGGATGGGTGGGTGAGTGGGTGGATGAGTGGGTGGATGGGTGGATGGGTGAGTGGGGGATGGGTGGATGGGTGAGTGGATGGGGGGTGAGTGGGTGGAGGGTGGGGGATGAGTGGTGGAGGGGGGTGAGTGAGTGGATGGGTGGGGGTGGATTGGGTGGTGGGTGGGGGGTGAGGAGTGGAGTGGAGGGATGGGTGAGTGAGGGATGGGTGAGTGAGTGGGTGGATGGGTGGGTGAGTGGGTGGATGGGTTGGTGAGGGGTGGGTGAGTGGGTGGGTGAGTGAGTGGGTGGGTGGGTGAGTGGGTGGGGGGTGGATGGGTGGGTGGAGGGTGAGTAGGTGGATGGGTGAGTGGGTGGAGGGTGGGGGGTGGGTGGATGGGTGGGTGGTGGGGGATGGGTGGATGGGGAGTGGGTGGATGGGTGAGTGGGTGGATGGGGGGTGAGTGGGTGGGTGGTGGGTGGTGGATGGGTGGATGGGTGGAGTGGTGGGTGGGTGGAGTGGGGGATGGGTGGGTGAGTGGGTGGATGGGTGGTGAGTGGGTGGATGGGTGGGGTGAGTGGGTGGATGGGTGGGTGAGTGGGTGGATGGGGGATGGGGAGTGGGTGGATGGGTGAGTGGTGGATGGGGGGTGAGTGGGTGGATGGGTGGGTGAGTGGGTGGATGGGTGGGTGAGTGGGTGGATGGGTGGGTGGATGGGTGGGGGATGGGGGAGTGGATGGGTGGGTGAGTGGGTGGATGGGGTGGGTGAGTGGGGGGATGGGGGGGAGTGGGTGGATGGGTGGGTGAGTGGGTGGATGGGGGGTGAGGGTGGATGGGTGGGTGGATGGGTGGGTGAGTGGAGGGTGGGGAGTGGGGGGGTGGGGGGTGAGTGGGTGATGGGTGGGTGAGTGGGTGGGTGAGTGGATGAATGAGTGGGTGAGTGGGTGGATGGGTGGGTGGGTGGGTGAGTGGATGGGTGGGTGGATGGGTGGATGGGTGGGTGGATGGATGGGTGGGTGGGTGAGTGGGTGGATGGGTGGGTGAGTGGGTGGATGGGGGGGGATGGGTGAGTAGATGGGTGGGGGGATGGGTGGGGGATGGGTGGGTGAGTGGGTGGATGGGTGGGGGATGGTGAGTAGATGGGTGGGTGGATGGGTGGGTGAGTGGGTGGGTGAGTGGGTGGATGGGTGGGTGAGTGGGTGGGGAGTGAGTGAGTGGGTGGGTGAGTGGGTGGGTGGATGGGTGGGTGGAGGGTGAGTAGGTGGATGGGTGAGTGGGTGGATGGGTGGGTGGGTGGATGGGTGGGTGAGTGGGTGGATGGGTGGATGGGTGTGGTGGGTGGATGGGGAGTGGGTGGATGGTGGGGAGTGGGTGGATGGGTGGGTGGATGGGTGGGTGGGGGGTGGATGGGTGGATGGGTGAGTGGGTGGTGTGGTGAGTGGGTGGATGGGTGGGGAGTGGGTGGATGGGGGGTGAGTGGGTGGATGGGTGGAGTGAGTGGGTGGATGGGGGGGGAGTGGGTGGATGGGTGGAGGGAGTGGGTGGAGGGGTGGGGAGTGGGTGGATGGGTGGGTGAGTGGTGATGGGATGGGAATGGAGTGAGTGGGTGGTGGGTGGTTGAGTGGGTGGATGGGTGGGTGAGTGGGTGGATGGGCTGGGTGAAGGTGGGTGGCTGGGTGGGGGCATGGATGGGTTGGATGGGTGAAGTGGATGGGTGGGTGCGGGGTGTGGTGGGGTGGGTGAGTGGGTGGATGGGCTGGTGAGTGGGTGGATGGGTGGGTGAGTGGGGTGGATGGGTGGTGAGTAGTGGCGTGGATGGGTGGGTGGATGGGTGGGTGAGTGGATGGGTGGGTGAGTGGGTGGATGGATGGTGTAGTGGGTGGATGGGTGGTGTGAGTGGGTGGCGTTGAGTGGGATGAATGAGTGGAGTGAGTGGGTGGATGGGTGGTGGGTTGAGTGGATGGGTGGGTGGATGGTTGGATGGTGGGTGGATGGATGGGTGGGTGGGTGAGTGGTGGATGGGTGGGTGAGTGGTGGATGGGTGGGTGGATGGGTGAGTAGATGGGTGGGTGGATGGGTGGTGGATGGGTGGGTGAGTGGGTGGATGGGTGGGTGGATGGGTGGAGTAGATGGGTGGGTGGATGGGTGGGTGAGTGGGTGGGTGAGTGGGTGGATGGGTGGGTGAGTGGGTGGGTAAGTGGGTGGGTCGGCGAGTGAGTGAGTGGGTGGGTGGGTGAGTGGGTGGGTGGATGGGTGGGTGGGTGGATGGGTGAGTGGTGGATGGGTGGGTGGGTGGGTGGATGGGTGGAGTGAGTGGGGGATGGGTGAGTGGGTGGATGGGTGAGGGGTGGATGGGTGGTGTGAGTGGGTGGATGGGTGGGTGGATGGGTGGTTGGGTGGGTGGATGGGTGGATGGGTGAGTGGGTGGGTGGGTGAGTGGGTGGATGGGTGGGTGAGGGGGTGGATGGTGTGGGTGAGTGGGTGGATGGGTGGTGAGTGGGTGGATGGGTGGGTGAGTGGGTGGATGGGGATGGAGTGGGTGGATGGGTGAGTGGGTGGATGGGTGGGTGAGTGTGTGGATGGGTGGGTGAGTGGGTGGATGGGTGGGTGGGTGGGTGGATGGGTGGGTGGATGGGTGGGTGGATGGGTGAGTGGATGGGTGGGTGGGTGGGTGGATGGGGGGTGAGTGGGTGGATGGGTGGGTGAGTGGGTGGATGGGTGGGTGAGTGGGTGGATGGGTGGGTGGATGGGTGGGTGAGTGGATGGGTGGGTGAGTCTGCGGGTGGATGGATGGGTGAGTGGATGAATGAGTGGGTGAGTGGGTGGATGGGTGGATGGGTGGGTGGATGGGTGGGTGAGTGGGTGGATGGGTGGGTGGATGGGTGGGTGAGTGGGTGGGTGGATGGGTGGGTGAGTGGGTGGGTGAGTGGGTGGATGGGTGGGTGGATGGGTGAGTAGATGGGTGGGTGGATGGGTGGGTGGATGGGTGGGTGAGTGGGTGGGTGGATGGGTGGGTGAGTGGGTGGGTGAGTGGGTGGATGGGTGGGTGAGTGGGTGGGTGAGTGGGTGGATGGGTACGGTGCGAATAAAGTTCAACGTACACACACCTCCCCCCACCCTCCCCCGCTGCGGTGGGGCGCGTCGCCGCCACCTTGAAGAAGGGGACTCCAGCACCCAGGGGGCGTAGACGCAACATACACAACATACGCATACATACACACACATACATACACACACATACACACACATACACACACACACATACACACACACACATACACACACACACATACACACATACATACACACACATACACACACATACACACACACACATACACACACACACACACATACACACCACACCACATACACACACATACACACACACATACACACACACACACATACACACACACACTACATACGCATACACACATACACAACATACAACATACACACACATACACACACACACATACACACACACATACACAACATACACACACACATACACAACATACACACACATACACACACATACACACATACACACACATACACACACACATACACAACATACACACACACACATACGCAACATACGCACACACACATACACACACACGCACACACACATACATACACACACACATACACAACATACGCACGCATACACACACACACACGCAACATACGCAACATACGCACACACACACACATACACAACATACACACACAACATACACACACAGATACACATACACACACACACAACACACATACGCAACATACACACACACACACAACATACACACACAACACACACACACAACACACATACGCAACATACACACACACACACATACACACACAACATACACACACAACACACACACATACGCAACAAAGACAAAGATCCCCCGTATAGCCTGAACAGACTGTAGGGGCAAGTGCTGTTAGCGAGCACCTATGAAGGCCGGAACGGTACACGAGGGGGTGGGTGGCCAGCACCACGCCCGACCGCCTTTGTCTCCCTAGTGGCGATGTTTACACACCGCACCAGGTACTCATTTAAGGCTGAGTCGACCTAGGGGAGGCCCAGGACCGGTTCAGATAATCGTCACTGGTGTCAGCCGTGAGCGGGAATCGAACCCGGGTCGCCAGGTTCATAGCGCAGCGCGCTAACCGCTACACTACCGCTCCCCACACACATACACACACATACGCAACATACACACACACACGCAACATACGCACGCATACGCGGCATACGAAAACATATGCACCATACGTACGCTTATGCAAAACACGTACACCTATGCGTCATACGCATGCATATGCACCATACACACACATACGCAACGTACGTACACCTATACGACATACGTACGCATATACAAGTCCCCCCACCACCCCCCCCCCGCCCACTTTACCTTGTAGAAGTTGTAGGGCGAGAGCGAGAGGACTCCCAGCACCCAGGGGAAGGAGACACCACCAGCCTCCTCCGGGGATCCGATCATCGTCCCGCAAGAGCCACTCCCTGCAAGTTCAAGGATTCATATTCTAAGGTTTTTTCGGTAAAGTCACGTAGATAAAAAATTTTAATTAATAAAAGTAAAATAAAATAAAAATCACGACGTTTCGGAGGCAACACAAGCTTCCGTATTCTTAGGTTTTTTCGGTAAAGTCACGTAGATAAAAAAAATTAAATTAATAAAAGTAAAATAAAATAAAAATCACGACGTTTCGAAGGCAACACAAGCTTCCGTATTCTTAGGTTTTTTCGGTAAAGTCACGTAGATAAAAAAAATTAAATTAATAAAAGTAAAATAAAATAAAAATCACGACGTTTCGGAGGCAACACAAGCTTCCGTATTCTTAGGTTTTTTCGGTAAAGTCACGTAGATAAAAAAAATTAAATTAATAAAAGTAAAATAAAATAAAAATCACGACGTTTCGGAGGCAACACAAGCTTCCGTATTCTTAGGTTTTTTCGGTAAAGTCACGTAGATAAAAAAAATTAAATTAATAAAAGTAAAATAAAATAAAAATCACGACGTTTCGAAGGCAACACAAGCTTCCGTATTCTTAGGTTTTTTCGGTAAAGTCACGTAGATAAAAAAAATTTAATTAATAAAAGTAAAATAAAATAAAAATCACGACGTTTCGGAGGCAACGCAAGCCATCCGTCTTCAGGTGGAACCGTCACAGCCACGACAGCTGTATCAGCTGTATCAAGTACTTGATATCAAATACTTGATATCAAGTACTTGATACAGCTGGAACCGTCACAGCCACGACAGGTGTATCAAGTAAATGAGAGATTGCAAGAGCTACCACTCCGTATATATAATGGTTGGAGAGGGGGGGGAAGGGCCAAGTACGGCACACTTTTAATTCATATTCAAGTTCAAGTTCATTGATTAGGTGTAGCCCTGTGAGCCATTCGGCTCTTGAATCGGGTGCAACCGCAACAAACAAAACAACAAAAACATAAACAAGAAAACATCTTAAAGTGAATATGTGACCGAGTGCAAACAGAAAATCCAAAAAAAGACAGCAAAATATTGCAGAAAAAGCACCGTACACCAACGCTGTGTGCAAAAATCCCAGTGGGATGCAAGTCAAACAACAACAACAACAACCACAAGACAACTTAGATTTAGGCCATCAGTCTAACTCTGTACTACAACAAACAACAACAACAACCACAAGACAACTTAGATTAAGGCCATCAGTCTAACTCTGTACTACAACAAACAAACAACAACAACAACCACAAGACAACTTAGATTTAGGCCATCAGTCTAACTCTGTACTACAACAAACAACAACAACAACAACCACAAGACAACTTAGATTAAGGCCATCAGTCTAACTCTGTACTACAACAAACAAACAACAACAACAACCACAAGACAACTTAGATTTAGGCCATCAGTCTAACTCTGTACTACAACAAACAACAACAACAACAACCACAAGACAACTTAGATTAAGGCCATCAGTCTAACTCTGTACTACAACAAACAACAACAACAACAACCACAAGACAACTTAGATTTAGGCCATCAGTCTAACTCTGTACTACAACAAACAACAACAACAACAACAACAACCACAAGACAACTTAGATTTAGGCCATCAGTCTAACTCTGTACTACAACAAACAACAACAACAACAACAACAACCACAAGACAACTTAGATTTAGGCCATCAGTCTAACTCTGTACTACAACAAACAACAACAACAACAACCACAAGACAACTTAGATTAAGGCCATCAGTCTAACTCTGTACTACAACAAACAACAACAACAACAACAACCACAAGACAACTTAGATTAAGGCCATCAGTCTAACTCTGTACTACAACAAACAACAACAACAACCACAAGACAACTTAGATTAAGGCCATCAGTCTAACTCTGTACTACAACAAACAAACAACAACAACAACCACAAGACAACTTAGATTAAGGCCTTCAGTCTAACTCTGTACTACAACAAACAACCAACAACCACAAGACAACTTAGATTAAGGCCATCAGTCTAACTCTGTACTACAACAAACAAACAACAACAACAACCACAAGACAACTTAGATTAAGGCCATCAGTCTAACTCTGTACTACAACAAACAACAACAACCACAAGACAACTTAGATTAAGGCCATCAGTCTAACTCTGTACTACAACAAACAAACAACAACAACAACCACAAGACAACTTAGATTAAGGCCATCAGTCTAACTCTGTACTACAACAAACAACAACAACAACAACAACCACAAGACAACTTAGATTAAGGCCATCAGTCTAACTCTGTACTACAACAAACAACAACAACAACAACAACCACAAGACAACTTAGATTAAGGCCATCAGTCTAACTCTGTACTACAACAAACAAACATGGCCAAACCGAAAAACTTTTCGAAATCACCAAAATAACGAGCACGCACCACGGGGTCACTCGCACCACGGGGTCGCACGCACCACGGGGTCACGCACACCACGGGGACGCACGCACCACGGGGTCACGCACACCACGGGGTCACGCGCACCACGGGGTCACGCACACCACGGGGTCACGCACACCACGGGGTCACTCGCACCACGGGGTCACGCGCACCATGGGGTCACGCGCACCACGGGGTCACGCACACCACGGGGTCACTCGCACCACGGGGTCACGCACACCACGGGGTCGCACGCACCACGGGGTCACGCGCACCACGGGGTCACTCGCACCACGGGGTCACGCACACCACGGGGTCACTCGCACCACGGGGTCACGCACACCACGGGGTCACGCACACCACGGGGTCACTCGCACCACGGGGTCACGCACACCACGGGGTCGCACGCACCACGGGGTCACGCGCACCACGGGGTCACTCGCACCATGGGGTCACGCACACCACGGGGTCACTCGCACCACGGGTCACGCACACCACGGGGTCACGCACACCACGGGGTCACTCGCACCACGGGGTCACGCGCACCACGGGGTCACGCGCACCACGGGGTCGCGCACACCACGGGGTCGCGCGCACCACGGGGTCGCACGCACCACGGGGTCACGCGCAACCACGGGGTCACGCGCACCACGGGGTCGCACGCACCACGGGGTCGCACGCACCACGGGGTCACGCGCACCACGGGGTCACGCGCACCACGGGGTCACACGCACCACGGGGTCACGCGCACCACGGGGTCACGCGCACCACGGGGTCACGCGCACCACGGGGTCACGCGCACCACGGGGTCACACGCACCACGGGGTCACGCGCACCACGGGGTCACGCGCACCACGGGGTCACGCGCACCACGGGGTCACGCGCACCACGGGGTCACGCGCACCACGGGGTCACACGCACCACGGGGTCACGCGCACCACGGGGTCACACGCACCACGGGGTCGCACGCACCACGGGGTCACGCGCACCACGGGGTCACGCACGCACCACGGGGTCATGCACGCACCACGGGGTCACGCGCACCACGGGGTCACGCGCACCACGGGGTCACGAGCACCACGGGGTCACGAGCACCACGGGGTCACACACACGCACCACGGGGTCACGCACGCACCACGGGGTCACTCGCACTACGGGGTCACGCGCACCACGGGGTCACGCGCTCGCACGAGGCCATCGGCAGCGGGCACGTGCCACTGGGCGGGAGGTGCCGGCAGAGGTCGCAACCGGGTACCCGATACCCGTACCCTACCCGATACCCGGCCGGGTACGGGTATCCGTTTGCGACCCTGGTGTACAGGAGGTCATGGGTTCGACCCCGACCCTGACGATGCCTGCTGCTGTATATTTGGAGTTTGCGTGTCTTTCTCCCTCTCATCATCATCACGTTAGCTAGGAGATGTTCACTACCTCGCCTGATACGCAGGAGGCCGTGGGTTCGATCCCGACCCTGACGATGCCTGCTGCTGTATATTTGGAGTTTGCGTGTCTTTCTCCCTCTCATCATCATCACAGTGGCTAGGAGATGTTCACTACCTCGCCTGATACGCAGGAGGCCGTGGGTTTGATCCCGACCCTGACAACGCCTGCTGCTGTATATTTGGTGGAGTTTGCGTGTCTCTCTCATCATCATCACGGTGGCTAGGAGATGTTGACAACCTCGCCTCGAGTGCAGGAGGTCGTGGGTTCGATCCCAACCCCTGACGCCTACTGCTGTATATTTGGAGTTTGCGTCTCTCTCTCTCATCATCATCACGGTGGCTAGGAGATGTTGACAACCTCGCCTCGAGTGCAGGAGGTCGTGGGTTCGATCCCAACCCCTGACGCCTGCTGCTGTATATTTCCCCTCCACATTCAGAATGGACATCACCACGCGTTTATTATTGGCTGCTCTACTATGAGACCTCCTTTACCAGCGGCAAAATATAGTAATAGGTTTTTACCCTTTTAACCGGTACGAAATCTGACACCATTATACAAGGCATCATGACTTCTTGTGTTGAGGTTATTGCAAACATGCCTTGTATAAAGGTGTCAGTTTTTGTACCAATTGAAAAGGTAAAAACCTATTACTATATTTTGCCACTGGTAAAGGAGGTCTCATAGTGTAAATGCTTACCCCGAGCTCTCAATACTCTGATAGTGCGCTGTTTTTGAGTTGTACGCATTTTGGCGTCATCTGGTCCAACACCAATGGAGACTAGGCTCTAAAGAAAAGCTGTCTCGGGTGTGGACCAATCAACTTCAAGGACAGTGCATATCATTATCATCATCAGAGTTGTTTCTTTTTGTTTGCATTTTTACTTCTTGTGTTGAGGTTATTGCAAACATGATGCCTTGTATAAAGGTGTCAGTTTTTGTACCAATTGAAAGGGCAAAAACCTATCACTATATTTGGCTGCTATCAATTTCCACGTGATGATGATGATGAGTTGCCACTGGTGACGGGCAGGTGGTCGCCTCTGAAATAGAGCTACGTAGAAGCTCAGTGGGCCTTCCTTACCCGGCAAAATAAAAATAGTTGATAGTTTAGTGTAGTTTTTCCCTCCACATTTAGAATCGACGTCACGCGTTTGGTGTATTTAGCTGTTCTAAATGTCCACGCGATGACAATGATGATGATGGTGATTTATTGAACTATGATTTGTGACGGACAGACCGCTTCTGAAAAATAGATCCGTAGCAACTCGGAGTGGCTTTACACCTGGTAAAGAGTTGAGTTTCGTAGTTTATACTTTGTGCTTTTGTCGGTAAAGTCACGTAGGTAAAAATTAACCCGTAAAAACAAAGTTTTTCACTAGAAGTCCTTTATATGCGTGGCGGCTAGAGTCCTCTCGTCCTCTAGCTTGAGATGGCTGCCACCTATGGGTCAGATGATTGCCTGCCACCATTAAGCAATTGGTAATTAAATATCATTTATTTTTTCCTAAAAAGTGTAAAAATGTGGAAAATAGATTTTTTTCACGAACATTAATTGTCTCGCACAACGAGTCTGCGTGAAAAATGTCAGCTCGATTGGATCACGGGAAGTGGGTTAAAAAACGACTGAAAGATTTGCACGGTCGTAAGCGCGCAAGCAAGTGAACTTAATATAAAGGATTTAAAAAAATAAAAGAAATCCAAATGAAAACAACTAAATTAAATCACGACGTTTCGGGCGCAACACAAGCGTGGGGGACAAACGCGGCCAAAAAACAACCGTTTCATTTATTAAATTTCTCACCTACGCGACTTTACCGAAAAAACCAAAAAGCATGGATGCTTGCAATCAGGAAAACTTCAAATCTCGAAAAAATGTCTCGCTTTAGTTTTGAGTGGAGCCGCGAGGACTTACAGGAGCTGTTGTACGTCGCCATGACCACCTCGAGCGAGCAGGCGAGGAGAGACACGTGGAAGGTTTCGATACCCAATAGGGTGCTGGGGGGGGGTGGTGGGGGGGCATAAAGGAAGGAAAATTAGCGGATTGACGCACGCGCGGTGTACAGTGATACCTCGGTTCACGAACGCTTCTGTTCACAAACAACTCGGTTCATGAACAGAAAAGTTCATAACAAGTATAAGCCGTAAAAACAAAGTTTTTCACCATAAATCCTTCATATGCGTGGCAGCGAACTTAATATAAAGGATTTAAAAATATATTCGCCTGTGGAGGACGCGGGGATCGATCCCGCGACCTTTGGCATGGGAAGCGAGGGCGCTACCAACTGCGCTACTCCGCCACGGCCTGTGGAGGGGTTACGCTCGGGGCTCTTACACTGTGACGTTCAGCCAAAGCCGTGAATGCGTTCTATTTAAATATATGTAAAATAATTTTTTTTTGCCTAAAAAGTGTAAAATTTTGGGAATTTTTTTTCACAAACATTCATTGTCTGGCACAACGAGTCTGTGTGGAAAATGTCAGCTCGATTGGATCACGGGAAGTGGGTTAAAAAACGAAGATTTGCACGGTCGTAAGCAAGCAAGCACGCAAGCACGCAAGCACGCAAGCAAGCAAGCGAACTTAATATAAAGGATTTAAAAATATGCTCCGGTTCACGAACAGGAGCCACGGCCATTTTAATGCTATTTCCAGGCTGTCACATGGTCGTGACTTCCTGTAGGAAGATCGTGGAGAGAAGAAGAGACACAGAAATAAGTACTGTGAGTACTGAAGACACTTTCAGTGACTTTTTGCTTTCTGGTGTGCTTTTTAGCACATACAGTACTGTACAATACTGTACTTACTGTATTGTACAGTTCACCCGTTTGAGTGCTTACTGAAGTCATCTCAAGCAAGGTTAGTGTTCTCTCTTTATACATTACTATACTGTACAGTACACATGTGTATTGTAATGTGTTTCATATTTTTGTGCTTCAAAAACCAAAAAAAAAGGTCAGAACGGATTAACCGGATTTACATTGAACCCTGTGGGGAAATGTGCCTCGGGTTCACGACCAATTCGGTTCGCGACCAGAATCAGTTCACGAATTAAGTTCGTGAACCGAGGTATCACTGTAGTTCACACCGTCACTAAAACTAAACGTTTTACACAATGAGACATCTACTTTACCAGTGACAAAATATAGTAGTAGGTTTTTACCCTTTCAATTGGTACAAAAAACTGACACCTTTATACAAGGCATCATGTTTGCAATAACCACAACACAAGCAGTCAAATTGCAAACAAAAATTAACAACTCTGATGATGATAATGATATGCACTGTCCTTGAAGTTGATTGGTCCACACCCGAGACGGCTTTTCTTAGAGCCTAGTCTCCATTGGTGTTGGACCAGATGACACCAGAAGGCGTACAACTTAAAGACAGCGCACTATCAGAGTATTGAGAGCTCGGGGTAAGCATTTACACTATGAGACCTCCTTTACCAGTGACAAAATATAGTAATAGGTTTTTACCCTTTCAACTGGTACAAAAACTGACACCTTTATACAAGGCATCATGTTTGCAATAACTACCTGTATATACAATTCGCGTCCGCGTTGTAACAAAATGCGTTCCATAATACATTCATAACGCGTTACGTATCCAATTCGCGTTAGGGGCCGTCCATACATGACGTCACGCGATGTTGGACGATTTTTGACCCCCCCCCCCCTCGTCACACGGCGTCACAAAAGTCAGACCCCCCCCCTCCCTCAAATGACATCACAAAGCTCTGCCCCCCCCCCCCCCCCAAAAAATAAAACACGCTTCAAATCGCTTTAAACTATTGTCATTGTAGTGTGTATTTAATGTGGCGCTGCACTCTGAAGTTGTAGGAGAAAACATTTATTAAAACGTCTATTTAATTAAGCAGAACGTGTTGTCTATATTTATTTAAAGTTGCGCATTTTGACGTGACGTCACATTTCTCACCCCCCCCCCTCGTCACACATCGTCACAAATGTCTGACCCCCCCCACCCCGCCCTTCTAAAAACAACATGCAGCGTTACAGGACAGACAGAGCGTACATGTTTACATACTCGCAAGGCGTAAACATTAAATGAAACAGGATTAAAATCTAAGCAGGTTCCACGCAACCTATAGTGGCTACCGACACAGTCGAGTGCACAAATGCAACGTTTGATTTGTGGTTGGATGGCGTTAATCCCGACTGTGGGTTCCCTCCCACCTGAAATCTTGAATGTTCAGCCGCTCTTCCTCCTGAGGGGAGCAACGGAGGGGGACAACGCAACGGTTCAAAGCAACATCGTTCCCGGCCGTTTACGAAGCGCACGTCCGGTGAGGCTGCGGCGATGGTGGGCGATGTGGTGGTCGGTGTGGTGGGTGGTGTGGCAGTAGTAGCAGTAGCAGCAGCAGTAGTAGCAGCACTAGCAGCAGCAGCAGTAGCAGCAGCAGTAGTAGCAGCAGCATCAGCAGTAGCAGCAGCAGTAGTAGTAGCAACACTAGCAGCAACAGCAGTAGTAGCAGCAGCACCACTAGCAGCAGTAGTAGCAGCAGCAGCAGTAGCAGCAGCAGTAGCAGCAGCAGCAGTAGTAGCAGCAGTAGCAGCAGTAGCAGCAGCACTAGCAGCAGTAGCAGCAGTAGTAGCAGCAGCAGCAGTAGTAGTAGCAGCAGCAGCAACATCAGTAGTAGCAGCAGCAGCAGTAGTAGTAGCAGCAGCAGCAACATCAGTAGTAGCAGCAGCAGTAGCAGCAGCAGTAGCAGCAGCAGCAGTAGTAGCAGCAGCAGCGTCGCTGTTTGTACCGCCACTCACCGCAGACAACTGTAGCGACACGACCACCGCCACTACGACAGCCGGCGCCAAAACTGTGCCACACACGCGCCCTCTCCGCATGGCACTTAAATTACAAACTGTTGACGCACACGGACGCACGCCACGTACCGATTTCAGGATGGCCTCCATAACGCGGTAGTAGAGACGCACGGCAAGGCCTAAACGCTGCAAAGACAAAGATTGTACACCTTTAACAGCATCAGAATATTTATTTAGAAATACAACACGGAAACATCTCCATCCTCGCAGGCAAAGGCCCCGCCGAGTTATTTAATTTACTTTTCGCAAGCGAGCTGGCAGTCACAAATAATAGCTCAACAAAGAGACCCCATCTCATTTGGATATTGATTTGTAGTGTGTAGAATGTCGTGTAATATAGTGTGTATTGTAATATAGTGTATTGTAGTGTATAGTATAGTGTGTATTGTAGTGTATAGTATAGTGTGTAGTGTATAGTGTAGTGTGTATTGTAGTGTATAGTGTAGTGTGTATTGATGTTGTTAGCTGGTGTTGATGATGTTGTTAGCTGGTGTTGATGGTGATGTTAGCTGGTGTTGATGATGATGTTAGCTGGTGTTGATGATGATGTTAGCTGGTGTTGATGATGTTGTTAGCTGGTGTTGATGATGATGTTAGCTGGTGTTGATGATGATGTTAGCTGGTATTGATGATGATGTTAGCTGGTGTTGATGATGTTGTTAGCTGGTGTTGATGATGTTGTTAGCTGGTGTTGATGATGATGTTAGCTGGTATTGATGATGATGTTAGCTGGTATTGATGATGATGTTAGCTGGTGTGGATGATGATGTTAGCTGGTGTTGATGATGATGTTAGCTGGTGTTGATGATGATGTTAGCTGGTGTTGATGATGATGTTAGCTGGTGTTGATGATGTTGTTAGCTGGTATTGATGATGATGTTAGCTGGTGTTGATGATGATGTTAGCTGGTGTTGATGATGTTGTTAGCTGGTGTTGATGATGATGTTAGCTGGTGTTGATGATGATGTTAGCTGGTATTGATGATGATGTTAGCTGGTGTTGATGATGATATTAGCTGGTGTTGATGATGATGTTAGCTGGTGTTGATGATGATGTTAGCTGGTGTTGATGATGTTGTTAGCTGGTGTTGATCATGATGTTAGCTGGTGTTGATGATGATGTTAGCTGGTGTTGATGATGATGTTGTTAGCTGGTATTGATGATGATATTAGCTGGTGTTGATGATGATGTTAGCTGGTGTTGATGATGATGTTAGCTGGTGTTGATGATGATGTTAGCTGGTGTTGATGATGATGTTAGCTGGTGTTGATGATGATGTTAGCCGGTGTTGATGATGATGTTAGCCGGTGTTGATGATGATGTTAGCCGGTGTTGATGATGATGTTAGCTGGTGTTGATGATGATGTTAGCTGGTGTTGATGATGATGTTAGCTGGTGTTGATGATGATGTTAGCTGGTGTTGATGATGATGTTAGCTGGTGTTGATGATGATGTTAGCTGGTGTTGATGATGATGTTAGCTGGTGTTGATGATGATGTTAGCTGGTGTTGATGATGATGTTAGCTGGTGTTGATGATGATGTTAGCTGGTGTTGATGATGATGTTAGCTGGTATTGATGATGATGTTAGCTGGTGTTGATGATGATGTTAGCTGGTGTTGATGATGATGTTAGCTGGTGTTGATGATGATGTTAGCTGGTATTGATGATGATGTTAGCTGGTGTTGATGATGATGGTAGCTGGTGTTGATGATGATGTTAGCTGGTATTGATGATGATGTTAGCTGGTATTGATGATGTTGTTAGCTGGTGTTGATGATGATGTTAGCGGGTGTTGATGATGATGTTAGCGGGGTGTTGATGATGATGTTAGCTGGTATTGATGATGATGTTAGCTGGTATTGATGATGATGTTAGCTGGTATTGATGATGTTGTTAGCTGGTGTTGATGATGATGTTAGCTGGTGTTGATGATGTTAGCTGGTGTTGATGATGATGTTAGCTGGTGGTGATGATGATGTTAGCTGGTATTGATGATGTTGTTAGCTGGTGTTGATGATGATGTTAGCTGGTGGTGATGATGATGTTAGCTGGTGTTGATGATGATGTTAGCTGGTGTTGATGATGTTAGCTGGTGTTGATGATGATGTTAGCTGGTGGTGATGATGATGTTAGCTGGTATTGATGATGTTGTTAGCTGGTGTTGATGATGATGTTAGCTGGTGGTGATGATGATGTTAGCTGGTGTTGATGATGATGTTAGCTGGTATTGATGATGATGTTAGCTGGTATTCATGATGTTGTTAGCTGGTGTTGATGATGATGTTAGCTGGTGTTGATGATGATGTTAGCGGGTGTTGATGATGATGTTAGCTGGTATTGATGATGATGTTAGCTGGTATTGATGATGTTGTTAGCTGGTGTTGATGATGATGTTAGCTGGTGTTGATGATGTTAGCTGGTGTTGATGATGATGTTAGCTGGTGGTGATGATGATGTTAGCTGGTATTGATGATGTTGTTAGCTGGTGTTGATGATGATGTTAGCTGGTGGTGATGATGATGTTAGCTGGTGTTGATGATGATGTTAGCTGGTGTTGATGATGTTATTAGCTGGTGTTGATGATGATGTTAGCTGGTGTTGATGATGTTGTTAGCTGGTGTTGATGATGTTGTTAGCTGGTATTGATGATGTTAGCTGGTATTGATGATGATGTTAGCTGGTGTTGATGATGATGTTAGCTGGTGTTGATGATGATATTAGCTGGTATTGATGATGATGTTAGCTGGTGTTGATGATGTTATTAGCTGGTATTGATGATGATATTAGCTGGTGTTGATGATGATGTTAGCTGGTGTTGATGATAATGTTAGCTGGTGTTGATGATGTTAGCTGGTATTGATGATGATGTTAGCTGGTGTTGATGATGTTGTTAGCTGGTGTTGATGATGTTGTTAGCTGGTATTGATGATGTTAGCTGGTATTGATGATGATGTTAGCTGGTATTGATGATGATGTTAGCTGGTGTTGATGATGTTGTTAGCTGGTGTTGATGATGATGTTAGCTGGTGTTGATGATGATGTTAGCTGGTGTTGATGATGATGTTAGCTGGTATTGATGATGTTGTTAGCTGGTGTTGATAATGATGTTAGCTGGTGTTGATGATGATGTTAGCTGGTGTTGATGATGATGTTAGCTGGTGTTGATGATGATGTTAGCTGGTGTTGATGATGATGTTAGCTGGTGTTGATGATGATGTTAGCTGGTGTTGATAATGATGTTAGCTGGTGTTGATGATGTTGTTAGCTGGTGTTGATGATGATGTTAGCTGGTGTTGATGATGATGTTAGCTGGTGTTGATGATGATGTTAGCTGGTATTGATGATGATGTTAGCTCGTATTGATGATGATGTTAGCTGGTGTTGATGATGATGTTAGCTGGTATTGATGATGATGTTAGCTGGTATTGATGATGTTAGCTGGTATTGATGATGATGTTAGCTGGTGTTGATGATGTTAGCTGGTGTTGATGATGTTGTTAGCTGGTGTTGATGATGATGTTTGCTGGTATTGATGATGTTAGCTGGTATTGATGATGTTGTTAGCTGGTGTTGGTGATGATGTTAGCTGGTGTTGATAATGATGTTAGCTGGTGTTGATGATGTTGTTAGCTGGTGTTGATGATGATGTTAGCTGGTATTGATGATGATGTTAGCTGGTGTTGATGATGATGTTAGCTGGTATTGATGATGATGTTAGCTGGTGTTGATGATGATGTTAGCTGGTATTGATGATGATGTTAGCTGGTATTGATGATGATGTTAGCTGGTGTTGATGATGATGTTAGCTGGTGTTGATGATGATGTTAGCTGGTGTTGATGATGATGTTAGCTGGTATTGATGATGATGTTAGCTGGCATTGATGATGATGTTAGCTGGTGTTGATGATGATGTTAGCTGGTGTTGATGATGATGTTAGCTGGTATTGATGATGATGTTAGCTGGTGTTGATGATGATGTTAGCTGGTGTTGATGATGTTGTTAGCTGGTGTTGATGATGATGTTAGCTGGTATTGATGATGATGTTAGCTGGTGTTGATGATGATGTTAGCTGGTGTTGATGATGATGTTAGCTGGTATTGATGATGATGTTAGCTGGTGTTGATGATGATGTTAGCTGGTGTTGATGATGTTGTTAGCTGGTGTTGATGATGATGTTAGCTGGTGTTGATGATGATGTTAGCTGGTGTTGATGATAATGTTAGCTGGTGTTGATGATGATGTTAGCTGGAATTGATGATGTTAGCTGGTATTGATGATGATGTTAGCTGGTGTTGATGATGATGTTAGCTGGTGTTGATGATGATGTTAGCTGGTGTTGATGATGATGTTAGCTGGCATTGATGATGTTGTTAGCTGGTATTGATGATGTTGCTAGCTGGTGTTGATGATGTTGTTAGCTGGTGTTGATGATGGATGTTAGCGGGTGTTGATGTTGTTAGCTGGTATGATGATGTTAGCTGGTTGATGATGTGTTAGCTGGTATTGATGATGATGTTAGCTGGTGTTGATGATGATGTTAGCTGGTATTGATGATGATGTTAGCTGGTGTTGATGATGATGTTAGCTGGTGTTGATGATGATGTTTAGCTGGTATTGATGATGATGTTAGCTGGTATTGATGATGTTGTTAGCTGGTGTTGATGATGATGTTAGCGGGGTTGATGATGATGTTAGCTGGTATTGATGATGTTGTTAGCTGGTGTTGATGATGATGTTAGCTGGTGTTGATGATGATGTTAGCTGGTGTTGATGATGATGTTACCTGGTGTTGATGATGATGTTAGCTGGTGTTGATGATGATGTTAGCTGGTATTGATGATGATGTTAGCTGGTGTTGATGATGATGTTAGCTGGTGTTGATGATGATGTTAGCTGGTGTTGATGATGATGTTAGCTGGTGTTGATGATGATGTTAGCTGGTGTTGATGATGATGTTACCTGGTGTTGATGATGATGTTACCTGGTGTTGATTGATGATGTTAGCGGGTAGTTGATGATGATGTTAGCTGGTGTTTGATGATGATGTTAGCTGGTGTTGATGATGATGTTAGCTGGTGTTGATGATGATGTTAGCTGGTGTTGATGATGATGTTAGCTGGTGTTGATGATGTTGTTAGCTGGTGTTGATGATGTTGTTAGCTGGTGTTGATGATGTTGTTAGCTGGTGTTGATGATGTTGTTAGCTGGTATTGATGATGTTAGCTGGTATTGATGATGATGTTAGCTGGTGTTGATGATGATGTTAGCTGGTGTTGATGATGATGTTAGCTGGTGTTGATGATGTTGTTAGCTGGTGTTGATGATGATGTTAGCTGGTGTTGATGATGTTGTTAGCTGGCATTGATGATGATGTTAGCTGGTATTGATGATGTTGTTAGCTGGTGTTGGTGATGATGTTAGCTGGTGTTGATAATGATGTTAGCTGGTGTTGATGATGATGTTAGCTGGTATTGATGATGTTGCTAGCTGGTATTGATGATGATGTTAGCTGGTGTTGATGATGATGTTAGCTGGTGTTGATGATGATGTTAGCTGGTATTGATGATGTTAGCTCGTATTGATGATGATGTTAGCTGGTGTTGATGATGTTAGCTGGTATTGATGATGATGTTAGCTGGTATTGATGATGATGTTAGCTGGTATTGATGATGTTATTAGCTGGTATTGATGATGATATTAGCTGGTGTTGATGATGATGTTAGCTGGTGTTGATGATGATGTTAGCTGGTGTTGATGATGATGTTAGCTGGTATTGATGATGATGTTAGCTGGCATTGATGATGATGTTAGCTGGTGTTGATGATGATGTTAGCTGGTGTTGATGATGATGTTAGCTGGTGTTGATGATGATGTTAGCTGGTGTTGATGATGTTGTTAGCTGGTGTTGATGATGATGTTAGCTGGTGTTGATGATGATGTTAGCTGGTGTTGATGATGATGTTAGCTGGTGTTGATGATGATGTTAGCTGGAATTGATGATGTTAGCTGGTATTGATGATGATGTTAGCTGGTGTTGATGATGATGTTAGCTGGTGTTGATGATGATGTTAGCTGGTGTTGATGATGATGTTAGCTGGCATTGATGATGTTGTTAGCTGGTATTGATGATGTTGCTAGCTGGTGTTGATGATGTTGTTAGCTGGTGTTGATGATGTTGCTAGCTGGTGTTGATGATGTTGTTAGCTGGTATTGATGATGTTGTTAGCTGGCCCGCGGGAAGGACGTTCCCCACCCCCGATCAAGATGATGATTTAAAATTGGTTAGCTCCCATTGGCTTCCTAATATCAGAAGGATGAGACCCATAGAGATCCAGAGACTCATATAGAACTACAGAAACCCACAGAGACTCATAAAACTATAGAGACCCACATTCACATGTATGTATGTTACACAGGTATTGTGGTCTATGCAAACATGACTCCTCGTAAAAAAGGTGTCAGTTTTGTTGCCAGATAGAAGGGTAAAAAACCAATTATCATATTTTTTACTGGCAAATGAGGTTCCAATAGTGTAAATGCTTACCCCGAGCTCTCATACTCTGATGGTGCATTGTCTTTGAGTTGTGCGCCTTTTGGCGTCATCTGGTCCAACACCATGTGAGACTAGGCTCTAAGAAAAGCTGTCTCGGGTGTAGACCAATCAACTTCAAGGACAGTGCACATACATTAGAGTTATGTTTTTTGTTTGCATTATGACTGCAGGTATTGTGTTCTATGCAAACATGACTCCTCGTAAAAAAAGGTGTCAGTTTTGTTGCCAGATAGAAGGGTAAAAAAACAATTATCATATTTTTGACTGGCAAATGAGGTTCCAATGGTGTAAATGCTCACCCCGAGCTCTCATACTCTGATGGTGCATTGTCTTTGAGTTGTGCGCCTTTTGGCGTCATCTGGTCCAACACCATGTGAGACTAGGCTCTAAGGAAAGCTGTCTTGGGTGTGGACCAATCAACTTCAATGACAGTGCACATACATTATCAGAGTTGTGTTTTTTGTTTGCATTACGACTGCAGGTATTGTGGTCTATGCAAACATGACTCCTCGTAAAAAAAAGGTGTCAGTTTTGTTGCCACATAAAAGGGTAAAAAAACAATTATCATGAATGTATGTTGTTCAATTTCTTCTTTCGCACCGTACGTAGCCAAGCGCGCTAACGACGTTATAATGACGACGACGACGATGTGGAACCTCTCACCTGGTTGGCGGTCCCCGCACAGCCGGTGGACGTAGCCTCCACAAAGTTACGCTGGAAGCGGGAGCCCACCTCCTCCACCGTGCGCGCGATCTCGGCACGGGGGTTCACGGAGCAGCGCTGGAAAAAACCGCAAACGGTCGACAAGGCACGGGCGGCATTTTTTAAATCCTTTAGATTCCAAGAACACAGGATGAGATGTTACTATCCTTTGTGCAAGCACTTCCAAAAGTTCATGAACAGTGAGCCTGGTGAAATTTGGGGAGCGCATCGTCAGTAGTGCACCTTTGGTTCCTAGGGTGTTTCGGCCTTTCACACGATACACCCTCCCCAAAGGCGGCCAGCGACAGGGTGATCAATCCTACGCTTGCGTCCCATTCCCAATTAGTCATAGGAGTTGCCTTGTTGTTGATAGCCAACATCCCATGGGACCCTTGCTTGCTTACGACCGTGCAAATCTTTCGGTCGTTTTTTAACCCACTTCCCGTGATCCAATCGAGCTGACATTTTGCACACAGACTCGTTGTGCGAGACAATTAATGTTCGTGAAAATTTTTTGTTTCAAATTTTTACACTTTTAAGGTAAACAAAAAATTATATTTAATTACAAATTGCTTAATGGTGGCAAGCAATCATCTGACCCATAGGTGGCAGCCATCTCAAGCCAGAGGACGAGAGGACTCTAGCCGCCCGTTTCAAAGACCAATGTGGGCTGGGTTGTGGCCCATTGAACACGCATATAAAGGATTTAGAGTGAATAAGTAAACCCGTAAAAACAAAGTTTTTCACTCTAAATCCTTTATATGCGTGGCGGCTAGAGTCCTCTCGTCCTCTGGCTTGAGATGGCTGCCACCTATGGGTCAGATTATTGTCTGCAGTATTAAACAATTGGTAATTAAATATAATATTTTCGTCCTATAAAGTGTAAAATTTTGGAAAAAAAATTTCACGAACATTAATTGTCACGCACAACGAGTCTGTGTGGAAAATGTCAACTCGATTGGATCATGGGAAGTGGGTTAAAAAACGACCGAAAGATTTACACGGTCGTAAGCAAGCAAGCAAGCACGCAAGCAAGCAAGCGAACTTAATATAAAGGATTTAAAAACTTTTTTTTTACGAGTTAATTTTTTTGGGACGGCGTAGTGTCGACAGGACTCCATTATTGCAAACTCACTACTCTAGTAAGTAATATTTTTAGAAACTTTTTTAAAACTCGCTTTTATTAAATGTACTGTAGTAATGGCAGAACTCCACGACTCCTGGAAGTGGCCCCGAAGCTTGCCGCAACGTCAGGGGCCGTGGCCAATTACAGCCAACGTCAGTTGGGCGTGGACAATTAGACCCAAGCCGAAACATAACATTTTAAAAATGTTTACAAATTTATATTTTTATGATAGAATATGGTATTGTCATCGGTATGACATCAGTATACCAAGTTTGCAGTGGATACCACATTGGGAAGTGGGTTAAAATAGAGTTACAAGATTTGAAGATACGACAAAGACAGACAGAGTGAGTTATATGAAAGCGTGTAAAAAGATATTTTAAACATTTTACTTTTTTATGATAGAATATGGTATTGTCATCGGTATGACATCAGTATACCAAGTTTGCAGTGGATACCACATTGGGAAGTGGGTTAAAATAGAGTTACAAGATTTGAAGATACGACAAAGACAGACAGAGTGAGTTATATGAAAGCGTGTAAAAAGATATTTTAAACATTTTACTTTTTTATGATAGAATATAGTATTGTCATCGGTATGACATCAGTATACCAAGTTTGCAGTCGATACCACGTTGTGAAAGTGAGTTAAAATTGAGTTACAAGATTTGAGAATGCAACAATAACAGACAGAGTGAGTTAAATGAAAGCGTCAAATAATGTTTTAAAATAAATGTTTTATATTTTTTATGATAGAATATGGTATTGTCATCGGTATGACATCAGTATACCAAGTTTGCATTCGATACCACGTTGTGAAAGTGGGTTAAAATTGAGTTACACGATTTGAGGATACAACAACAACAGACAGAGTGAGTTATAAGAAAGCGTGTAGTAAAAACTTTCTTGTTTACTGTCGTGTGTGGTAGCAGCGTGCAGCTGCGGTGTGCGGTAGTGGTGCCTGGTTGCGGTGTTTCGGTGTGCGGTAGTGGTGCCTGTTTGCGGTGTTTCAGTGTGTGGTAGTGGTGCCTGGTTGCGGTGTTTCAGTGTGTGGTAGTGGTGCCTGGTTGCGGTGTTTCAGTGTGTGGTAGTGGTGCCTGGTTGCGGTGTTTCAGTGTGCGGTAGTGGTGCCTGGTTGCGGTGTTTCAGTGTGTGGTAGTGGTGCCTGGTTGCGGTGTTTCAGTGTGTGGTAGTGGTGCCTGGTTGCGGTGTTTCAGTGTGTGGTAGTGGTGCCTGGTTGCGGTGTTTCAGTGTGTGGTAGTGGTGCCTGGTTTGCGGTGTTTCAGTGTGTGGTAGTGGTGCCTGTTTGCGGTGTTTCAGTGTGTGGTAGTGGTGCCTGGTTGCGGTGTTTCAGTGTGTGGTAGTGGTGCCTGGTTGCGGTGTTTCAGTGTGTGGTAGTGGTGCCTGGTTGCGGTGTTTCAGTGTGTGGTAGTGGTGCCTGGTTGCGGTGTTTCAGTGTGTGGTAGTGGTGCCTGGTTGCGGTGTTTCAGTGTGTGGTAGTGGTGCCTGGTTGCGGTGTTTCAGTGTGTGGTAGTGGTGCCTGGTTGCGGTGTTTCAGTGTGTGGTAGTGGTGCCTGGTTGCGGTGTTTCAGTGTGTGGTAGTGGTGCCTGGTTGCGGTGTTTCAGTGTGCGGTAGTGGTGCCTGGTTGCGGTGTTTCGGTGTGCGGCGTTGCTTACGCTTAGGTAGCTGTTGAGCGTCGCGGAAGGTTCATCGCTCGCTGAGTTCAGGATCAGCTTCAGCTGCTGAACCGTGTTCATCGTGGTCCTGGGGAATTCATCGCGAAGCGTCAACAAAATAAAAACGTTAATTCCCTCCCCCTTCCCTTCAATCGAGATTTGAAGCGTTTTTTTTCTTTCTTGCTGTGGTTTTCCCACCTGATGACGATTGCTTGTGTTGCAAATCGAAACGTCCCTCGTTTTCCACCCCACCCCAGCCCGGCACGCGAGCCAAACTTTGGTGGGGCAGAGAGTCCAATTATTTTATCGACCCCCTCATAGATAGATAGGGTCCTTGACTTAAAGCTTTACTGACTACTGCAGGAATTCATATTCTTTGGGTCTTTCGGTAAAGTCACGTAGAAGGGAAGTAATAAAATAATAAAAATAAAACATAATTAAATTTCGATTTAAAGCTTTCGTGACTGCAGGGATTCATCTTCTTGGTTCTTTCGGTAAAGTCGCGTAGAAGGGAAGTAATAAAATAATAAAAATGTTAAATCCCTCTTGATATGAAAATTATTTTGTCTAGGCGCTCTTCTTCCCACCTCCCCCCCCCCCTCCAACGCAGCTTAAATATACGCTCCAAGCTTGGTGCTGTTTCATTCTTCACCTGAGGACGGCTGCTTGCGTTGTGGCCGAAACGTCGTGAGAATTATTTTATTATCTTTTATTTTTATTATTTTATTACTTCCATCCAAGTGGATAGGTCCCAAGAAAATAACAAAACAAAAAACCACGACGCTTCGATCGCAACACAAGCTGTCGTCAACCCTGATGAGGACGGCTTGTGTCGCGATCGAAACGTCGTGGTTTTTTTGGTTTTGTTATTTTCTTTGAACCTATCTTCGTGACTTTACCGAAAGACTCAAAGAATACGGAGGGGTCCTGTCGTGCCGAGACCAGCATTTGCTGTCTCACAGTTTCCGTATCCCCTTCCGTTGTGCCATCGGCGCGTATTGTAACCGTGCCCGCGTTGAGTTGCAATGAAAACATTCAAAATAGAGAGAATAAATATTTTAACTAAACTATATTTTCTTATAATAATAGGGGCTTTTCCACTTTTTTCTGGCAAACAAAACTGAAAACTTTTTTACAAGGAATCACGTGTGCGTTAACCACAATACTTGTGGTCGAAATGCCAACAAAAAACACTCTAATAATATCTCTGGCATTGTCCTTGAAACTGATTGGTCCACACCAAAGACAGCTTTCTTTTGAGCCTCATCACAATTGGTGCTAGACCAGAGGACGCCAAAAGGCGCACGCAGCTCAAAGAGTGTGTTTTTTGTTTGCATTTTGACCACAAGTATTGTGGTTAATGCAAACATGATTCCTTGTAAAAAGTTTTCAATTTTGTTGCCAGAAAAAAGGGGTAAACCCCTATTATTATATTTTGGTACTGGCAAAGGAGGTCTAATTATATATTTTCTTATTCTGCCAGGCAAGACACCACCGACCTATTCGGCTCTTCTTCAGAAGCAAACTGGGCGCCACGAATGATAGCTCAACAAAGTGAATCGTCGTCATCGCGTGGAAATTTATAGCAGCAGGCAAATGCTCCGAACGCGTCACGTCGATTGTAAATGTCGAGTAGAAATCCCGAGGACCCGGACAAAAATCCACGGTCGGGATCGAACCCACGACCTTCTGCATACCAGGCGAGGTAGTTAACATCTCCGAGCCACCGTGATGATGATGATGATGAGAGAGACACGCAAACTCCAAATATACAGCAGCAGGCGTCGTCACAGTCGAGATCGAACCCACGACCACCTGTGCACCAGGCGAGGTAGTTAACATCTCCGAGCCACCGTGATGATGATGACAGAGACACACAAACTCCAAATATACAGCAGCAGGCGTCGTCACAGTCGAGATCGAACCCACGACCACCTGTGCACCAGGCGAGGTAGTTAACATCTCCTAGCCACCATGATGATGATAAGAGAGAGACACACAAACTCCAAATATACAGCAGCAGGCGTCGCGGTCAGGATCGAACCCACGACTTCCTGCACACCAGGCAAGGTAGTGAACATCTCCTAGCCACCGTTATAACGATGACAGAGACACGCAAACTCCCAATATACAGCAGGCGTCGTCACGGTCGAGATCGAACCCACGACTTCCTGCATACCAGGCGAGGTAGTTAACATCTCATAGCCACCGTGATGACGATGACAGAGACACGCAAACTCCAAATATACAGCAGGCGTCGTCAGGGTCGGGATCGAACCCACGACCTCCTGTATACCAGGCGAGGTAGTTAACATCTCCTAGCCACCGTGATGACGATGACAGAGACACGCAAACTCCAAATATACAGCAGCAGGCGTCGTCAGGGTCGGGATAGAACCCACGACTCCCTGCATACCAGGCAAGGTAGTTAACATCTCATAGCCACCGTGATGATGATGATGAGAGAGAGAGACATGCAAACTTCAAATATACAGCAGGCGTCGTGAGGGTCGAGATCGAACCCACGACTCCCTGCATACCAGGCGAGGTAGTAAAGATTTTTCCGCTGTGGCGGTCTTGAAAGCGAGCGGTGGGGAGAGACTGAGAGAGATATTGCCCTCACCTGATTGGCGTCTGTTGCGGTCCGGGCATTGCATCCTGGCTCCTGGTTGGGCTGCCCGGAGCCTGCGGCCTACGCAACGGTACGGCGTAGACGTTACGAAACAAACGCGGAATCAGAATATTTGTCTATATAGTGGAGGAATCCGACAAGCTACAACACACACACACATGTCCAGTTGGGGCAGGTCAGAACGTGACACGTGTATGTACGTATGGTGAACTTCTAATCGGAGTTGCGGGGTGGTGGGGGGAGACAACAACGAACTGAACACAACAACAACAACGTCGTGTAGGTATGTCACACTGATGACAACACGATATTCTATCATACAAAATCCAAACATGTATTTTACAACTTTTCACACGCTTTTATTTAACTTAAATTTCGATTTCCCCTATCCCAGCTTAAATATACGCTGCCAAGCCTGGTGGTGTTTCATTCGGACGCTGTCTTTCCGACAGACCTGTTCTTCACCTGAGGACGGCTGCTTGCGTTGTGGCCGAAACGTCGTGAGAATTGTATTTTATTATGTTTTATTTGTATTATTTTATTACTTCCCTTCTACGTGATGACTTTACCGAAAGAACCAAGAAGAACAACAACCAGTTGTAAAGAAGTGAGTTTTCAATCTAGATTTAAAAGTGCAGAGCTCTCAGTGGCTTGTTTGTTACAACAATACGAACAACACGATAGGAGCGAAATCTACAGGAAAGGTGACGTGGGACACCAGGAAACGCCGCGCGTGTAATCTTCATCATCTTATTTTTGCATTAGCGTCGTGAAAGAATCGAAAGGGGAGACGTTTTTTTCACGATAATTGAGGGCGCCACACCGTTTGTCAGCGATGGGCACGTGGGAACGGTGGTTAGTGTCTTCTAAATTTTAAATATAAATAATAAATCTTGATTTAAAGCTTTCGTGACTGTAGAAAATTCATACTCTTTGGTGGTTTTTCGGTAATAAATCACGACGTTTCGAGCGCTACACAGGCAATGGTCTTCACCTGAAGACGATTGCTTGCTTGTGTTGCGATCGAAACGTCGTGATCTATTTTTAAATCCTTTATATTAAGTTCACTTGCTTGCTTGCTTGCGTGCTTGCGTGCGTGCTTACGACCGTGCAAATCTTTCGGTCGTTTTTTAACCCACTTCCCGTGATCCAATCGAGCTGACATTTTGCACACAGACTCGTTGTGCGAGACAATTAATGTTCGTGAAAATTTTTTTTAAAAATGTTACACTGTTTAGGGAAAAAAATTCTAATATTTAATTACCAATTGCTTAATGCTGGCAGACAATCATCTGACCCATAGGTGGCAGCCATCTCAAGCCAAAGGACGAGAGGACTCGAGCAGCCACGCATATAAAGGATTTATAGTGAAAAACTTTGTTTTTACGGGTTAATTTTTTATTCTATCTACGACACTTTACCCAAAGACCCAAAGAGTTGAATGTGCAGGTAGTCCCCGAGTTACGACGGGGTCCGACTTACGATATTTCGATCTTACGATGGCGATACGACAAAATTGCCATCAACAACCTAACGTCGTAGATTTGAAGCTTTCGTGACTGCAAGGATTCATACTCTTGGGTTTTTTCGGTAAAGTCACCGTGTAGGTAAAAATAGATAATAAAAATAATAATAGAAATACAATTATAAAGCACAATAATTTTAGAAAGAATATCATCGCGAATATTCATTTACAAATTATTTGGGTCTTTCGGTAAAGTCACGTGGATAGGTTCAAAACTAATTTTTTTTAAACTACGACATCATGGGACCTCCTTAGCCACTACCAAAGCATGCGAATAGGTTTTCCTTGTGAAAGGTTTCAGTTTGGTGTTTTAACATCTTAACACCTTTGATTCAAAGCTTTCTTCGTGACTGCAGGGATTCATATTCTTGGTCCTTTCGGTAAAGTCACGTAGAAGGGAAATAATAAAATAATAAAAATAAAACATTATAAAATAATTCTCGAAAGTGGGGTTGATTAGAGTCTCTAGAAAAATAAAAACGTAGCGATAATCGCGGGGCCTTACCGTTTATCGGCATTGGGCGCGAAAGCGGGGTGGGTTAGCGTCTTTAGAAAAAATAAAAGTAGCGATAATTGCGGCGCTTACTGTTTAGTCAGTGTTGAGGCATGGGCGGGGTTGGTTAGCGTCTTCAAATTAAAAAGACATATTAACACGTAGCAGGCTTTCGCGACCAATATTATTCATAATCAACGTTTTTGGGTTTAGATCGCGTTATTTAGAAATGTGTCGTAACCCTCCAACCACCCGACACGGCCGATCAGTAAAAAAAGTGTCACGTTGACAAAAGACAAACAGTTCACTGCTTTAGCCCACCAGTGTGTTGAAGCGTGAAACCACAACATTTACAATTTGAGCAGTGACCTATTTGTCTTTTGTCAACGTGACACTTTTTTACCGACTGGCCGTGTCGGGTGGTGGAGGGTTACGACACATTTCTAAATAACGCCATCTAAACCCAAAAACGTTAATTATGAATGAAAAGACATATACATAAAATAATGTGACGATAGCTGCGGGTCTCACACTTTGTCGGCGTTGGGCACGAGGGAGGGGTGGTTGACGAGAAAGTCCCGTTCATCGATGCCACGTGTCTGCTCGTACAACGCCCCGTACCGCTCACTCAGCAGCTGTGACAACAACGCAGAGGGGCAGCCAATGCTGTGTGGTGATGCCGTGTGTGACGATGATGATGTGTGTGGTGATTGCTGTGGATGATGATGATGATGTGTGATGTTGTGTATGACGATGATGATGTGTGTGGTGATGTTGTGTGTGATGATGATGTGTGGTGATGTTGTGTGTGATGATGATGTGTGGTGATGATGTGTGGTGATGATGTTGATGTGTGTGGTGATTGCTGTGGATGATGATGATGATGTGTGGTGATGTTGTGTGTGATGATGATGATGTGTGTGGTGATTGCTGTGGATGATGATGATGATGTGTGGTGATGTTGTGTGTGACGATGTTGATGTGTGTGGTGATTGCTGTGGATGATGATGTGTGGTGATGTTGTGTGTGACGATGATGATGTGTGCGGTGATTGCTGTGGATGATGATGATGATGTGTGGTGATGTATGTGACGATGTTGATGTGTGTGGTGATTGCTGTGGATGATGATGATGTGGTGATGATGTGTGTGACGATGATGATGTGTGTGGTGATTGCTGTGGATGATGATGATGATGTGTGATGTTGTGTGTGACGATGTTGATGTGTGTGGTGATTGCTGTGAATGATGATGATGTGGTGATGATGTGTGTGACGATGATGATGTGTGCGGTGATTGCTGTGAATGATGATGATGTGTGGTGATGATGTGTGACGATGTTGATGTGTGTGGTGATTGCTGTGAATGATGATGATGTGTGGTGATGTGTATGACGATGATGATGTGTGTGGTGATTGCTGTGAATGATGATGATGATGATGTGTGATGTTGTGTATGACGATGTTGATGTGTGTGGTGATTGCTGTGGATGATGATGATGATGATGTGTGGTGATGTGTGTGACGATGATGATGTGTGTGGTGATTGCTGTGGATGATGATGATGATGATGATGTGTGGTGATGTGTGTGACGATGATGATGTGTGCGGTGATTGCTGTGGATGATGATGATGATGATGTGTGGTGATGTGTATGACGATGATGATGTGTGTGGTGATTGCTGTGGATGATGATGATGATGATGTGTGATGTTGTGTGTGACGATGATGATGTGTGCGGTGATTGCTGTGGATGATGATGATGATGTGTGGTGATGTGTGTGACGATGATGATGTGTGTGGTGATTGCTGTGGATGATGATGATGATGATGTGTGGTGATGTGTGTGACGATGATGATGTGTGCGGTGATTGCTGTGGATGATGATGATGATGTGTGATGTTGCGTGTGACGATGATGATGATGTGTGGTGATGATGTGTGTGACGATGATGATGTGTGCGGTGATTGCTGTGGATGATGATGATGATGTGTGGTGATGATGTGTGCGGTGATTGCTGTGGATGATGATGATGATGATGTGTGGTGATGCTGTGTGTGACGATGATGATGTGTGCGGTGATTGCTGTGGATGATGATGATGATGATGTGTGGTGATGATGTGCATGATGATGATGTGTGCGATGATGATGATGATGAGTGATGATGATGAGTGATGATGATGAGTGATGATGATGTGTGTGGCGACGCTGTGCATGATGATGTGTGTGTGATGATGATGATGTGTGGTGATACTGTGCATGATGATGATGTGTGCGATGATGATGATGATGAGTGATGATGATGAGTGATGATGATGAGTGATGATGATGTGTGTGGCGACGCTGTGCATGATGATGTGTGTGTGATGATGATGATGTGTGGTGATACTGTGCATGATGATGATGTGTGCGATGATGATGATGAAGAGTGATGATGATGATGAGTGATGATGATGATGAGTGATGATGATGATGAGTGATGATGTGTGTATGGTGATACTGTGCATGATGATGATGTGTGCGATGATGATGATGATGAGTGATGATGATGATGAGTGATGATGATGATGAGTGATGATGATGATGAGTGATGATGATGTGTGTGGTGATACTGTGCATGATGATGATGTGTGCGATGATGATGATGATGAGTGATGATGAGTGATGATGATGATGAGTGATGAGTGATGATGAGTGATGATGAGTGATGATGATGAGTGATGATGATGATGAGTAATGATGATGATGTAATGATGATGATAATGTGTGTGGTGATGCTGTGCATGATGATGATATGTGCGATGATGATGAGAATGATGATGATGATGAGAATGATGATGATGATGATGAGAATGATGATGATGAGTGATGATGATGATGATGTGTGTGGCGATGCGTATTTATGACGATGTCTCTTTGAGGTGAGGCAAGTCCCGATGCCGGCGTTATTTACCTGCAGGAGGGCGTCTCTCGTGGTGGCTGGGAGAGAGCTCAGGAAAGGGAGGAAACAGCCGGCGTGAATGCTCATGACCTACACACAGTTGGTTAAAGAGAGCAGTGTATTAACACCAGCAGTGACACACACACACAGTGACACAAACACACAGTAACACACACACACAGTGACACACACACAGTGACACACACACACAGAGTGACACACACACACAGTGACACACACACACACAGTGACACACACACAGTGTCACACACAGCAGGGTATTAACACCAGCAGTGTCACACACAGTGTCACACACAGTGACACACACACAGTGACACACAGTGACACACACACACAGTGACACACAGTGACACACACACACAGTGACACACACGGCAGGGTATTAACACCAGCAGTGACACACACACAGTGACACACACACACAGTGACACACACACACAGTGACACACACACAGTGACACACACACACAGTGACACACACACACAGTGACACACACACACACACAGTGACACACACACAGTGTCACACACAGCAGGGTATTAACACCAGCAGTGTCACACACAGTGTCACACACAGTGACACACACACACAGTGACACACAGTGACACACACACACAGTGACACACACGGCAGGGTATTAACACCAGCAGTGACACACACACAGTGACACACACACACAGTGACACACACACACAGTGACACACACACAGTGACACACACACACACAGTGACACACACACAGTGACACACACACACACAGTGACACACACACAGTGACACACACACACACAGTGACACACACACAGTGACACACACACACACAGTGACACACACACAGTGACACACACAGTGACACACACACACAGTGACACACACACACAGTGACACACACACAGTGTCACACACACAGTGACACACACACAGTGACACACACACACACAGTGACACACACACACAGTGACACACACACACAGTGTCACACACACAGTGACACACACACACACACACAGTGTCACACACACAGCAGTGTCACACACACAGCAGTGTCACACACAGCAGGGTATTAACACCAGCAGTGTCACACAAACACAGTGACACACACACACAGTGACACACACACACAGTGACACACAAACACAGTGACACACATACACAGTGACACACACACACAGTGACACACACACACAGTGACACACACAGCAGGGTATTAACACCAGCAGTGTCACACACACAGCGGTGACCCACACACACACACACAGTGACACACAAAGATCCCCCGTATAGCCTTAACAGACTGTAGGGGCAAGTGCTGTTAGCGAGCACCTATGAAGGCCAGAACGGCACACGAGGGGGTGGGTGGCCAGCACCACGCCCGACCGCCTTTGTCTCCCTAGTGGCGATGTTTACACACCACACCAGGTACTCATTTGAGGCTGAGTCGACCTAGGGGAGGCCCAGGACCGGTTCAGATAATCGTCACCTGGTGTTGGCCGTGAGCGGGAATCGAACCCGGGTCGCCAGGTTCATAGCGCAGCGTAGCGCTAACCGCTACACTATCGCTCCCCACAGTGACACACACACAGTGACACACACACACAGTGACACACACACACAGTGACACACACACACAGTGACACACACACACAGTGACACACACACAGCAGTGACACACACAGTGACACACACACAGTGACACACAGTGACACACACACACAGTAACACACAGTGACACACATACAGTGACACACACACACAGCAGTGACACACTGTAATACAAAGATCAAACAAAGACCGAACAAGGATCCCCCGTACAGCATTAACAGACTGTTGGGGCAAGTGCTGTTAGCGATTAACAGTGCCTATGAAGGCCGGCACGGCACACGAGGGGGTGGGTGGCCAGCACCACGCCCGGCCACCTTTGTTTCCTTCGACGCGATGTTTACTACACCACACACCGCACCGGCTATTCATTTGAGGCACAGTCGATCGGACCTGGTACCGAAAAAATTTGCCCGGTTTGGCTACGTACGCTGTGAAAGAATCTTCTTGGTTCTTTCGGTAAAGTCGCCACGTAGAAGGGAAGTAATAAAATAATAATAATAAAACATAATAAAATACAATTCTCACGACGTTTCGGCCACAACGCAAGCAGCCGTCCTCAGGTGAAGTAATAAAATAATAAAAATAAAACATAATAAAATACAATTCTCACGACGTTTCGGCCACAACGCAAGCAGCCGTCCTCAGGTGAGTAATAAAATAATAAAAATAAAACACAATAAAATACAATTCTCACGACGTTTCTGCCACAACGCAAGCAGCCGTCCTCAGGTGAGTAATAAAATAATAAAAATAAAACACAACAAAATACAATTCTCACGACGTTTCGGCCACAACGCAAGCAGCCGTCCTCAGGTGAGTAATAAAATCATAAAAATAAAACATAATAAAATACAATTCTCACGACGTTTCGGCCACAACGCAAGCAGCCGTCCTCAGGTGAGTAATAAAATAATAAAAATAAAACACAATAAAATACAATTCTCACGACGTTTCGGCCACAACGCAAGCAGCCGTCCTCAGGTCAAGTAATAAAATAATAAAAATAAAACACAATAAAATACAATTCTCACGACGTTTCGGCCACAACGCAAGCAGCCGTCCTCAGGTGAAAACCAGCGTCCACACACTCACACACACCTTCGTGCAAAAAAAACTGAAAGTGCAACAAAACTCACCTCCTCGTGGTTGCAGTTGTTGTGACGGCACAACAACGCGATGGCAGGCGGCGTTACGACCACCACAGGCGTCGTGACGGTGGCGGCCGTGGCCACGCCGGCGGTGACGGTCCCCTGGCTGTACGAGTGCTCGCCGCTCGAAGCCGCCGGGTCGACCTCTCCGTCCGTGTCGACCTCGGACGCCGGTTTGCCGTCTCTGACGGCGGACGCTACGGCCGGCAGGGGTGGGGCAAAGGGGGCAAAGAGGTTTTCGTGTTGAACGTCTTTGGTTGCGTGTGCGTGTGTATGTGTGTGTTGAACGTCTTTAGTTGCGTGTGTATGTGTGCGTGTGTGTTGATATTCTTTCGTTGCGTGTGTATGTGTGCGTGTGTGTTGATATTCTTTCGTTGCGTGTGTATGTGTGCGTGTATGTTGAACGTCTTTCGTCGCGTGTGTATGTGTGCGTGTGTGTTGAACGTCTTTCGTCGCGTGTGTATGTGTGCGTGTGTGTTGAACGTCTTTCGTCGCGTGTGTATGTGTGCGTGTGTGTTGAACGTCTTTCGTCGCGTGTGTATGTGTGCGTGTGTGTTGATATTCTTTCGTTGCGTGTGTATGTGTGCGTGTGTGTTGATCTTCTTTAGTTGCGTGTGTATGTGTGCGTGTATGTTGAACGTCTTTCGTCGCGTGTGTATGTGTGCGTGTGTGTTGGGGAGCGGTGGTGTAGCGGTTAGCGCCGCGCTGTGCTATGAACCTGGCGACCCGGGTTCGATTCTCGCTCACGGCCAACACCGGTGACGATTATCTGAACTGGTCCTGGGCCTCCCCTAGGTCGACTCAGCCTGAAATGATTACCTGGTGTGGTGTGTAAACATCGCCACTGGGGAGACAAAGGCGGTCGGGCGTGGTGCTGGCCACCCACCCCCTCGTGTGCCGTGCCGGCATTCATAGGTGCTCGCTAACAGCACTTGCCCCTGCAGTCTGTTAAGGCTATACGGGAGATCTTTGTTTTGTGCGTTGATCTTTTTTGGTTGCGTGTGTATGTGTGCGTGTGTGTTGAACGTCTTTCGTTGCGTGTGTATGTGTGCATGTGCGTTGAACGTCTTTCGTTGCGTGTGTATGTGTGTGTGTTGCGAGTGTGTGTGTCAAATATTGGGAGGAAGAAGTCACCCCCTTCATCGTGGGACCTCCTTTGCCAGTACCAAAATATACTAATAGGGTTTTTCCCCTTTTTTCTGCCAACAAAACTGACACCTTTTGCAAGGAATCATGTTCACATTAACCACAATACAACCCCCGACCCCCCCCCCCCCCCCCCCCCCCCGCGGCGTTACCGTAGGGCTCGTGAAGAGACGAGGCCGGGCAGCGGGAGGCAAAGTGGTCCAGGACGCACAGCAGGAGATGGAACGCCGAGACCAGATCCGTGCCAGCCTGGAGCCCGTGGCCTGCACGACGCAACCACACAGACAAGGGCCCAGCCACACCAGTCAGACAAAGGTGTCAGACACACCAGTCAGACAAAGGGGCCAGCCACACCAGTCAGACAAAGGCCCCAGCCACACCAGTCAGACAAAGGCCCCAGCCACACCAGTCAGACAAAGGAGCCAGCCACACCACAGACAAAGAGGCCAGCCACACCAGTCAGACAAAGAGGCCAGCCACACCAGTCAGACAAAGGAGCCAGCCACACCAGTCAGACAAAGGGCCCAGCTATATTTAATTTATGATAATTGTTTTTTTATCCCTTCTATCTGGCAACAAAACTGACACCTTTTTTTACGAGGAGTCATGTTTGCATAGACCACAATACCTGCAGCCGTAATGCAAACAAAAAACACAACTCTGATAATGTATGTGCACTGTCCTTGAAGTTGATTGGTCCACACCCGAGACAGCTTTCCCTAGAGCCTAGTCTCACATGGTGTTGGACCAGATGACGCCAAAAGGCGCACAACTCAAAGACAATGCACCGTCAGAGTATGAGAGCTCAGGGTAAGCATTTACACCATTGGTACCTAATTTGCCAGTAAAATATATGATTTTATTTATTTTATCTTTAACTTCATCTGTTGTATCCTCAAAAAATAAATCTTGTAACTCAATTAAAAACACACTTCCCAATGTGCTATCGACTGCAACCTTCGTGTAGGTATGTCACACTGATGACAACACGATATTCTATCATAAAAAATCCAAAACATATATTTTACAACTTTTTACACGCTTTTATTTAACTTAAATTTCGATTTCCCCTAACCCAGCTTAAATATACGCTGCCAAGTCTGGTGGTGTTCATTCAGACGCTGTCTCCCCGACAGACCTGTTCTTCACCTGAGGACGGCTGCTTGCGTTGTGGCCGAAACGTCGTGAGAATTATATTTTATTATGTTTTATTTTTATTATTTTATTATTTCCCTTCTACGTGACTTTACCGAAAGAACCAAGAAGATGTATTTAACTTGCTGTATGTGTTGTCGTACTCCCAATGTCGTATTGACTGCAAACTTGGTATAGCTATGTCACACTAATGAAAATACTATATTCTATCATTAAAAATCTCAAACAAATATTTTTTTTACATTTTACACGCTTTTAATTAACTTACTGTGTGTTATAATTGGTTTTTTACCCTTCTATCTGGCAACAAAACTGACACCTTTTTACAAGGAGTCATGTTTGCATAGACCACAATACCTGCAGTCATAATGCAAACAAAAAACATAACTCTGATAATGTGCACTGTCCTTGAAGTTGATTGGTCCACACCCGAGACAGCTTTCCTTTGAGCCTAGTCTCACATGGGTTGGACCAGATGACGCCAAAAGGACAGTGCACATTATCAGAGTTATGTTTTTTGTTTGCATTATGACTGCAGGTATTGTGGTCTATGCAAACATGACTCCTTGTAAAAAGGTGTCAGTTTTGTTGCCAGATAGAAGGGTAAAAAACCAATTATCATATTTTTACTGGCAAATGAGGTTCCCATAGTGTTACTGTGTTGTCGTATACAAAAATCTTGTAACTCAATTTCAACCGTACTCCCAATGTCATATCGACTGCAAACTTGGTCACACTGATGACAATACTATATTCACCATTGGAACCTCATTTGCCAGTAAAAAAATATGATAATTGATTATTTTACCCTTCTATCTGGAAACAAAACTGACACCTTTTTTGTCAGTTTTGTTGCCAGATAGACGTGTAAAAAAAACCAATTATCATTACAATACTATATTCCATCGCTATTTTGCGAGGTTATTTAATTTTAGTGTGCCTTTCTCCTAATTTTCAAGCTTGCGTGCCGTGCCACGTCGTCATCTTACTTGCGTTGCCATCCACTCATTGATATGATCATTTTCTCTGCTCCCCCTCTCTATATTTAAGGGACCGTCACAGAAACGACCCCCTCTCTTTGTGCCGATACGTGTCCTCTCTTTGTGTGTCCTTGTGATGTCTGTCTGCTTGTATGTCTGTCTATAGTTTTCTAGTTGGATTTTGTTGCTATTTCTTTTACGCCTGATGATGATTGCTTGTGTTGCAATCGAAACGTCGTAATATGCTATTATTTTAATTTATTATTTTGTCTTTAGACGTGACTTTACCGAAAGAACCAAAGAATAACTATATTCCATCATTAAAAAAATGTAAAAATATCTTTGTAAACAATATTTTTTACGCCTCTAATTGTCCACGTTTACGGCTCTTAAATTGTCCACGCTCAACTCGCGGAGGGGGGAGGGGCGATGGGGGAAGGGGGCAGGGGGGTGGGCGGCTCAGACAGTACATGTCATTAAAGCGTGTTTTTTTTTTTATTATTTTTAAATATTTCATTATCTACGTGACTTTATCGGAAAAATACAAAGAGTATGGAAAACTCCTTGCAGTCACGAAAACTTCAAATCTACAAGTTCCTTGTCAAATTTGAGAAACACCACTGGCTTCAGAGCAGAGGTCGCAAACGAGTTTTGATTCCTTACCCGTACCCGGCCGCACCAGGGTCGCAAATGGGTACCCGTACCAGTACCCGGCTGGGTACGGGTAGCCGTTCCCTACCCGTACCCTACCCGAAATGAGTGACAAACGGTGACTCACCAGTGACTCACGGCCTACCCGTACCCGTACCCGGCCGCACCAGGGTCGCAAACGGGTACCCGTACCTGGCCGGGTACGGGTAGTCGGGTATCGGGTAGGGCACGGGTATCGGGTACCTGGTTGCGACCTCTGCCTCAAGAGGAAGACGATCACTCACCCTTGGCGAGGATGAACATTGTCCAGCACTCCCTTGCCATCTTGGACGGAAACGGTGAGGCGCTGTGGGGGACGTAATTTCGTTATTTTGTTATTGATGCGACGTGTAATGATGCGACATTATGATGTAAGGTAAGGGATGCGATGTAATGATGTAATGTAATTATGTAAGGTGTAATATTTTTACATAATGTGTAATATTTTCGATTTAAAGCTTTCGTGACTGCAGGGATTCATCTTCTTGGTTCTTTCGGTAAAGTCACGTAGAAGGGAAATAATAAAAATAAAACATAATAAAATACAATTCTCACGACGTTTCGGCCACAACGCAAGCAGCCGTCCTCAGGTGAAAAACAGGTCTGTCGGAAAGACAGCGTCTGAATGAACAGGTCTGTCGGAAAGACAGCGTCTGAATGAACAGGTCTGTCGGAAAGACAGCGTCTGAATGAACAGGTCTGTCGGAAAGACAGCGTCTGAATGAACAGGTCTGTCGGAAAGACAGCGTCTGAATGAACAGGTCTGTCGGAAAGACAGCGTCTGAATGAACAGGTCTGTCGGAAAGACAGCGTCTGAATGAACAGGTCTGTCGGAAAGACAGCGTCTGAATGAACAGGTCTGTCGGAAAGACAGCGTCTGAATGAACAGGTCTGTCGGAAAGACAGCGTCTGAATGAACAGGTCTGTCGGAAAGACAGCGTCTGAATGAACAGGTCTGTCGGAAAGACAGCGTCTGAATGGACTGAATGGACGCTGTCTTTCCGACAGACCTGTTCTTCACCCGAGGACGGCTGCTTGCGTTGTGGCCGAAAAGTCGTGAGAATTGGATTTTATGTTTTATTTTTATTATTTTATTATTTCCCTTCTACGTGACTTTACCCAAAGAACCAAGAAGGTGTAATATTTTATTGGTGTAACGGAGGTATTCCTTTGCAACATTGGCAAATTTGGCTCTGCGCGATATTGGCTACCGGCGATTCGCATAACTCTACGCGACTGATGCATCGAGAGAGAGAGAACAAGTGATGTGAGATAATGTGACGAGAGAAAACGTGACGAGGGATAAAGTGGCGGAGATGACTGCCGGCCTACCATCCTCTGCCGTCTTCGTTGAAGATCTTGCCGTACATCCTGCGAGGTCGATTGGGGGGGGGGGTGAGAATTCCCACGAGATCAAAGATCAACAAACTAAATCCGTCAATCGACAATCAAAAGAGTAAGTAATATTTTAAAATACTTTTTTTAAACACGTTTTAATTAAATGTACGAGTAATGGCTGAACTCCACGACTCCAGCTTGCCACAACGTAAGGGGCCCGTGGCCAATTACAGCCGACGTCAGTTGAGCGTGGACAATTAGAGCCAAGACGAAACGTAACGTGTAAAAAATAATGTTTAAAAAAATATACATACAAGAATCCGAGTCCCGGGCGAGGCCGGGTAGTCAAGCTAGTTTGACAAACAACAAAACCTTGCATTGCGAGTAATTTGGTCTGCGAGTGTTTTGCAAGACGAGCAACATTTTTAAATAAATATTAATTTGATAAACGAGCGAGGGGTCTTGCGATACGAGTCGTACGCGTGTGTACGCTTTGTCTGCCCAGCGTCACGTGATCACAACTGATGTACCAGTGCTTTGATACGCGAGTGCTTTGGATTACAAACTCTTTTCCGGAACGAATTATGCTCGTGTAGTGTTGTACAGACGGACTCTTCAACGTCTTTTTGTAGCACACACTTTTATTTGTGAACACAGTCCCTATGCACTGAGGGGTATACGGTCCCCTCACCCATTACACTCAGAACGTACAAGCCTCCGCACCCTACAGGCTACTTAATATCCCGCTCTTTCAATGTCCTCTGACTGGACCTAGGGAGATGTCTCCTCGACCACTGGTTACTCTGAACCCTAGCCCTTATAAGGGCTGGAGGGCTTGGTCCAGGGTCCTAGGCTTCTTCCGCCGTCTTGGGTCTTCGTGTTGTCGAACTCCCCGAGAGCTCTGAGCGCTCTGGCTTTATACTCGTTCGTGGCCGGGTTGTCCAATCCCCGGCCACCTTGTGGAACCCTGTGATTGGTCGTTCCCAATCTGCTTTAGGATCCCAATTCACCCTATCTGACCCTGACCGTTAGGTCGCGCGGGAAAACCTTGTTTACGGTCAGCTCTCACAACTTGTGAGACCCTGACCGTTAGTTTGAGCGGGAAAACCTTGTCAACGATTAGCTCTCCCAGTTTGTGAACATCGAGTGGGTAACTCTACTACACTCGCAATCAAAGGTTTTACAGCACATCCCATGCACTCGTTTCGTTTCATCGAGCCAACCATCTTGTACCATAGTTAGTTCACTGTACAGCGCCTTGGTTGAGGCGCTATACAAATGTACGAGAAGATAAGATCCCGTCTGCGGGGTCCCATTCGTATCTTATCGCTCAGTCCTCCGTCTCGTTAGTTTTTCACCGAGGAGGGGAGGGAGCGGCGTTAAGCATTTTTATTTTGTTCTTTCTGCTCGAATGTTACGACGCCGATTGAGCGCTGCCGCCGTCGCGAGCCTACGAAGCGTTCCGAGCAATCTCCAGCGCCGGGATGCTCTCCCGTGCTCGAAAGGGCGGACCCCACTCAAGCGGATTTCCGAGATCACTTTTTCGCCCGGCGTATTAAGGGGAACGTAATTCGATAAATAAGTATAACCCGTAAAAACAAAGTTTTTCACTATAAATCCTTTATATGCGTGGTAGCTAGAGTCCTCTCGTTCTCTGGCTTGAGATGGCTGCCACCTATGGGTCAGATGATTGCCTGCCAGTATTAAGCAATTGGTAATTAAGTATTTAATTTGTTTTCCCTAAACAGTGTAAAATTTTGGCAAATTTTTTTCACGAACATTAATTGTCTCGCACAACGAGTCTGTGTGCAAAATGTCAGCTCGATTGGTTCACGGGAAGTGGGTTAAAAAACGACCGAAATATTTGCACGGTCGTAAGCAAGCAAGCACGCAAGCAAGCAAGTGAACTTCATATAAAGGATTTAAAAAATATATTTTTAATGCACTGGCGTCGATTCGACCGCTCCGTTGCGTTTGGGATAAAATTAAATCAACGCCGGAGTTTGGGAGGGGAGTTGTGCGCCTTTTGGCGTCATCTGGTCCAACACCATGTGAGACTAGGCTCTAAGGAAAGCTGTCTCGGGTGTGGACCAATCAACTTCAAGGACGGTGCATACATTATCAGAGTTGTGTTTTTTGTTTGCATTATGACTGCAGGTATTGTGGTCTATGCAAACATGACTCCTCGTAAAAAAGGTGTCAGTTTTGTTGCCAGATAAAAGGGTAAAAAAACAATTATATTTTTTACTGGCAAATGAGGTTCCAATGGTGTAAATGCTTACCCCGAGCTCTCATACTCTGATGGTGCATTGTCTTTGAGTTGTGCGCCTTTTGGCGTCATCTGGTCCAACACCATGTGAGACTAGGCTCTAAGAAAAGCTGTCTCGGGTGTGGACCAATAAACTTCAAGGACGGTGCATACATTATCAGAGTTGTGTTTTTTGTTTGCGTTACGACTGCAGGTATTGTGGTCTATGCAAACATGACTCCTTGTAAAAAAAGGTGTCAGTTTTGTTGCCAGATAGAAGGGTAAAAAAACAATTATTATAAATGTGTCGTTGAACCCGCCCCCACCCGACACAACCAATCAGCAAGGGTTTCTCACGTAAACAAAACGTTAATTCTAGATTTGAAGCTTTCGTGACTGCAGGGATTCATATTCTTAGGTTTTTTCGGTAAAGTCACGTAGGTAAAAAACATTAAAAAGTAAAATAAAATAAAAAATCACGACGTTTCGGAGGCAACACAAGCTTCCGTCTTCAGGTGGTACCGTCACAGCCACGACAGCTGTATCAAGTAAATGAGAGATTGCAAGATCGTGGTGCAAGGGGCGCATACTTAATGTTTTTTACCTACGTGACTTTACCGAAAAAACCTAAGAATATAAACAGAACGTGCCAATTAGTTACGAGTTTAGCACGAACCGATGTGTCGGAGACTAAACCCACTACAATATCTACAATTCGAGTACAGCGACGTTTCGAACTAGTAACGAATTGGCACGTCTTGTTTGTTACGTGACAAACCTCACCAAATGGCTGCGTTGGGTGGCGGTGGGTTTACCGACACAAAACGTATATTTACGGGAAAATAATAAAAACTCACGTTGTTTCTCAAGCAGTCTGGTTGTTTTAGTGGCAACATCTACAACCAGACTGCTTAGAGACCTGGGAATTAAGGGCCAGAGCCAGCGTTCGGCAATCAAAGCTGTATCGGAGGCGGCAGAAGGCAGCAGTCAGTGGCTCTGGATGAAGAGGAAAGACCCCAGCTGGGCCCCAAAGTGAGAGGGCCAGGAGGTATGCAGTCAACAATGCTTGACTCAGGGAGGAGGACGCCCCTGCCATGCATAGTCCCATGGGATGTTGGCTACCAACAACAAGGCAACTCCTATGACTAATTGGGAATGGGACGCAAGCGTAGGATTGATCACCCTGTCGCTGGCCGCCTTTGGGGAGGGTGTATAGTGTGAAAGGCCGAAACACCCTAGGAACCAAAGGGTCACTACTGACGATGCGCTCCCCAAATTTCACCAGGCTCACTGTTCATGAACTCTTGGAAGTGCTTGCACAAAGGATAGTAACATCTCATCCTGTGTTCTTTGGAATCTCAAAGTGGAGGGAACAACTGGAAGACCCACGTGACGACGGAAGAGACGCAAACACAAATTATACAGCAGGCATCAAGGTCGGGATCGAACCCACAAGCTCCTGCATGCCAGGCGAGGGAGATAAAATCTCACCACCTTTTCCAGTGACGCATCCCCAAGGTAGTTAACATCTCCCCACGATGGCGAGATGTTAACTACCCCGCCTGATGTACAGGAGGCCGTGGGTTCGATCCCCGAACCTGGGTTTGCATGTTCTCTCCCCGTAAAAAAAAAAAAAATTAACATTTAAAAAATTAAACATTTTAATCATAAAATAACAAACTTTGGTTCAACAGTTTTTTATCATCATCGTTATTGTTACTACGATTATCACTTACGTCTGGAACTTTTTGTAGATGGCGGCAGCGACCTGGAACTGGTTATTCAGGGTGGTGAGCGATAGCTGCATTTCTGGCGGTGCATCCATGTTTCGCACAGCGTGGTAGAAATCGTCGAAGCTGTCGCGGCACGGAGGGGGGTGGGTGGGTGGGGGGACGAGATACGACGTAGAGACTCTGGTGAGAGAGAGAACTATACTCTTAGTTTTTTCGGTAAAGTCACCATGTAGGTAAAAAATGAAATTTAAATTAATAAAAAATTAACCCGTAAAAACAAAGTTTTTCACTATAAATCCTTTATATGCGTGGCGGCTAGAGTCCTCTCGTCCTCTGGCTTGAGATGGCTGCCACCTATGGGTCAGATGATTGTCTGCCAGTATTAAGCAATTGGTAATAAAATATAATTTTTTTTTTCCTAAAATGTTTAAACAAACATTTTTTCACGAACATTAATTGTCTGGCACAACGAGTCTGTGTGCAAAATGTCAGCTCGATTGGATCACGGGAAGTGGGTTCAAAAACGACCGAAAGATTTGCACGGTCGTAAGCGCGCAAGCAAGCACGCAAGCAAGCAAGCGAACGAACTTAATAAAGGATTTTAAAATAAAATAATAATAAAAATCACGACGTTTCGGAGGCATCAGGTGGGACCGTCACAGCCAGATTTTCTGCATCAAGTGAGGCAGAAATTCCAAGATTGCAAGTTCTTAAATACAAGTTAAGGGGGAGGAGAGGGGGGGGGCTTATCAAAAAGTGGTAGCCAATGAATGGAACGTATCGGGAGGGGGGGGGGCTAAAAAAGAACACGAGGTGCACGGGTTGAGAGAGAACGCAACGAAGAGAATGCGACGAAAAGAACTGAGAAAAAATTAACCCGTAAAAACAAAGTTTTTCACTATAAATCCTTTATATGCGTCTTCAATGGGCCACAACCCAGCCCACATTGGTCTTTGAAACGGGCGGCTAGAGTCCTCTCGTCCTCTGGCTTGAGATGGCTGCCACCTATGGGTCAGATGATTGCCTGCCACCATTAAGCAATTGGTAATTAAATATAAAAAAAAATTACCTAAAAAGTGTAACATTTTAGCATTTTTTTTCCACGAAAATATATTGTCACGCACAACGAGTCTGTGTGCAAAATTTCAGCTCGATTGGATCACGGGAAATGGGTTAAAAAACGACCGAAAGATTTGCACGGTCGTAAGCGCGCAAGCAAGCAAGCAAACTAAATATAAAGGATTTAAAAAACATAACTGAGAAAACAACTAAGACGACAAAACTGAGAAGACAGCCGAGAGAACACAACTTACAGGAGCTCATTAGACACCGAGAGAAGAAAACTGAGACAACGCAACTGCGAGACAAACACTGAGAGACAAACACTGCGAGAACACGCCATCGAGAGAACAGAACTTGACACAACAAAACACAACTGGGAGAAACATGTGGGATGACACGGCTGAGTGAACACAACTGAGAGTGGCAGATGACGGGGAGCTCTGCATGCAGATATGAGCTACCCGTCGGAGGCCGTGGGACTGCGAGAAGGGCTGCGTGCAGATGCAGCATAACAGTGTATAGTGTAGTGTGTGTGTGTTGAAACTTCTTTAATGTCATACGTAGCCAAACGAAACACAAAAAGCAGCTTGAAAGAAATGAGTTTCCAACTTAGTATAGTATTGCAGTGTACAGTGCCGTGTATAGTGTAGTGTAGTATGTAGTGTATAGTATAGTGTGTATTGTAGTGTATAGTGTAGTGTATAGTGTAGTGTATAGTGTCGTGTGTAGTGTAGTGTGTATTGTAGTGTATAGTGTAGTGTGTATTGTAGTGTATAGTGTAGTGTGTATTGTAGTGGATAGTGTATAGTGTAGTGTGTATTGTAGTGGATAGTGTAGTGTATAGTGTAGTGTGTATTGTAGTGTATAGTGTAGTGTGTAGTGTAGTGTGTATTGTAGTGGATAGTGTAGTGTAGTATGTAGTGTATAGTGTAGTGCGTATTGTAGTGTATAGTGTAGTGTGCATAGTGTAGTGTGTATTGTAGTGTATAGTGTAGTGTATATAGTAGTGTATAGTGTAGTGTAGTATGTAGTGTATAGTGTAGTGTAGTATGTAGTGCATAGTGTAGTGTGTATTGTAGTGTATAGTGTAGTGTGTATTGTAGTGTATAGTATAGTGTGTATTGTAGTGTATAGTGTAGTGTATAGTGTAGTGGATAGTGTAGTGTGTATTGTAGTGTATAGTGTAGCCGTATGTTTGTTCAACTTCTTTCGCACCGTACGTAGCCAACCGCGTTAATCGTAGGTGCGCTACTCACTTGACCCCAAGCTCAGAGAGAAGCTGCGTGACCTTGATGGGCAACGGCTTCAGGGCGGCGATGTAGAGACACACGGCCATTGTGGAAGCACAGCTCTGCGACAAAACAAAAAAAATATTTGAAAAAATTAACCCGTAAAAACAAATTTTTTCACTATAAATCCTTTATATGCGTGGCGGCTAGAGTCCTCTCGTCCTCTGGCTTGAGATGGCTGCCACCTATGGGTCAGATGAATGGCTGCCACCATTAAGCAATTGGTAATTAAATATAATTTATTTTTTCCTAAAAAGTGTAAAATTTTGGAAATTTTTTTTCACGAAAATAAATTGTCACACACAACGAGTCTGCGTGCAAAATGTCAGCTCGATTGGATCACGGGAAGTGGGTTAAAAAACGACCGAAAGATTTGCACGGTCGTAAGCAAGCAAACAAGTGAACATAATATAAAGGATTTAAAAAGACGCAAACATCCCACCCCTACCCATGCAGACTTGTCACGTACAAAGCGCTCCACAAATGAACCACCGCAAGACCTCGCCCATCTTGTCAAGCAGCGTAAACCATCGTCACGCGACACCCGGTCATCAACGCAGCAGCAGCGGCGGCGGCTTTTGGCTGCCGGCCGTCCAACAAAAACGGTGGTCACCGCATCGCCGCTCGGTGCTTTCAGATGCGCTTCTGCGGCCGTCTTGAACGCTCTGCCTTCCAATATTAGGAAGCCGCTGGGAGCGATGCTGCTGCACTTTTAAATCATCGTCATCATCTACATTGACGAACTCGTTTCATTAGAACTGCTTCTTGGTGTTGTGTTTAGTTTGTTGTCCTTACCGCGTCCGCACCTCCCATTAGCCACGGACGGCTACGTATGGCGTGAAAGAAGTTCAATATACGTACATTGATACCCACAGACTCATCACACAGATACCCACAGACTCATCACACAGATACCCACAGACTCATCGCACAGAGACCCACAGACTCATCACACAGAGACCCATAGACTCATCACACAGACCCATATACTCATCACACAGAGACCCATAGACTCATCACACAGAGACCCATAGACTCACCACACAGACACCCACAGACTCATCACACAGATACCCACAGACTCATCACACAGATACCCATAGACTCATCACACAGAGACCCATAGACTCATCACACAGACACCCACAGACTCATCACACAGATACCCATAGACTCATCACACAGACACCCACAGACTCATCACACAAAGACCCATAGACTCATCACACAGATACCCATAGACTCATCGCACAGAGACCCACAGACTCATCACACAGAGACCCATAGACTCATCACACAGAAAACCACAGACTTATCACACAAAGACCCATAGACTCATCACACAGAAACCCATAGACTCATCGCACAGAGACCCATAGACTCATCACACAGAGACCCATAGACTCATCATGCAGAGACCCATAGACTCATCACGCAGAGACCCATAGACTCATCACACAGACCCATAGACTCATCACACAGACCCATAGACTCATCACACAGAGACCCATAGACTCATCACACAGAGACCCATAGACTCATCACGCAGAGACCCATAGACTCAGCACACAGACCCATAGACTCATCACACAGAGATCCAGACTCATCACAAAGAGACCCATAGACTCCTGACACAGACCCATAGACTCATCATTCAGAAACCCATAGACGCATCACACAGACCCATAGACTCATCACACAGAAATCCACAGACTCATCACACAGAGACCCATAGACGCATCACACAGAGACCCATAGATTCATCACACAGAGACCCATAGACTCATCACACAGAGACTCACAGATTCATCACACAGAAATCCACAGACTCATCACACAGATACCCATAGACGCATCACACAGATACCCATAGACGCATCACACAGAGACCCATAGACTCATCACACAGAGACAGATAGACTCATCACACAAAGACCCATAAACTCATCACACAGAGACCCATAGACTCATCACACAGATACCCATAGACTCATCACACAGAGACCCATAGACTCATCACACAGAGACCCATAGACTCCTCACACAGAGACCCATAAACTCATCACACAGAGACCCATAGACTCATCACATAGAGACCCTTAGACTCATCACACAGAGACCCATAAACTCCCGACACAGACCCATAGACTCATCATGCAGAAACCCATAGACGCATCACACAGACGCATAGACTCATCACGCAGAGACCCACAGACTGATCACACAGAGACCCACAGACTCATCACACAGAGACCCATAGACTCATCACACAGAGACCGATAGACTCATCACGCAGAGACCCACAGACTCATCACGCAGAGACCCACAGACTCATCAAGCAGAGACCCACAGACTCATCACGCAAAGACCCACAGACTGATCACACAGAGACCCACAGACTCATCACGCAGAGACCCATAGACTCATCACACAGAGACCCACAAAATCATCACACAGAGACCCACAGACTCATCACACAGAGACCGATAGACTCATCACACAGAGACCCACAGACTGAACACACAGAAACCCACAGACTCATCACACAGAGACCCACAGACTCATCACGCAGAGACCCACAGACTCATCACGCAGAGACCCATAGACTCATCACACAGAGACCCATAGACTCATCACACAGAGACCCATAGACTCATCACACAAAGACCCATAGACTCATCACACAGAGACCCATAGACTCATCACACAGAGACCCATAGACTCATCACACAGAGACCCATAGACTCATCATGCAGAAACCCATAGACGCATCACACAGACCCATAGACTCATCACGCAGAGACCCACAGACTGATCACACAGAGACCCACAGACTCATCACACAGAGACCCATAGACTCATCACACAGACCCATATACTCATCACACAGAGACCCATAGACTCATCACACAGAGACCCATAGACTCACCACACAGACACCCACAGACTCATCACACAGATACCCACAGACTCATCACACAGATACCCATAGACTCATCACACAGAGACCCATAGACTCATCACACAGACACCCACAGACTCATCACACAGATACCCATAGACTCATCACACAGAGACCCATAGACTCATCACACAGAGACCCATAGACTCATCACACAGAGACCCATAGACTCATCACACAGAGACCCATAGACTCATCACACAGACACCCACAGACTCATCACACAAAGACCCATAGACTCATCACACAGATACCCATAGACTCATCGCACAGAGACCCACAGACTCATCACACAGAGACCCATAGACTCATCACACAGAAAACCACAGACTTATCACACAAAGACCCATAGACTCATCACACAGAAACCCATAGACTCATCGCACAGAGACCCACAGACTCATCACACAGAGACCCATAGACTCATCACACAGAAAACCACAGACTTATCACACAAAGACCCATAGACTCATCACACAGAAACCCATAGACTCATCGCACAGAGACCCATAGACTCATCACACAGAGACCCATAGACTCATCATGCAGAGACCCATAGACTCATCACGCAGAGACCCATAGACTCATCACACAGACCCATAGACTCATCACACAGACCCATAGACTCATCACACAGAGACCCATAGACTCATCACACAGAGACCCATAGACTCATCACGCAGAGACCCATAGACTCAGCACACAGACCCATAGACTCATCACACAGAGATCCAGACTCATCACAAAGAGACCCATAGACTCCTGACACAGACCCATAGACTCATCATTCAGAAACCCATAGACGCATCACACAGACCCATAGACTCATCACACAGAAATCCACAGACTCATCACACAGAGACCCATAGACGCATCACACAGAGACCCATAGATTCATCACACAGAGACCCATAGACTCATCACACAGAGACTCACAGATTCATCACACAGAAATCCACAGACTCATCACACAGATACCCATAGACGCATCACACAGATACCCATAGACGCATCACACAGAGACCCATAGACTCATCACACAGAGACAGATAGACTCATCACACAAAGACCCATAAACTCATCACACAGAGACCCATAGACTCATCACACAGATACCCATAGACTCATCACACAGAGACCCATAGACTCATCACACAGAGACCCATAGACTCCTCACACAGAGACCCATAAACTCATCACACAGAGACCCATAGACTCATCACATAGAGACCCTTAGACTCATCACACAGAGACCCATAAACTCCCGACACAGACCCATAGACTCATCATGCAGAAACCCATAGACGCATCACACAGACGCATAGACTCATCACGCAGAGACCCACAGACTGATCACACAGAGACCCACAGACTCATCACACAGAGACCCATAGACTCATCACACAGAGACCGATAGACTCATCACGCAGAGACCCACAGACTCATCACGCAGAGACCCACAGACTCATCAAGCAGAGACCCACAGACTCATCACGCAAAGACCCACAGACTGATCACACAGAGACCCACAGACTCATCACGCAGAGACCCATAGACTCATCACACAGAGACCCACAAAATCATCACACAGAGACCCACAGACTCATCACACAGAGACCGATAGACTCATCACACAGAGACCCACAGACTGAACACACAGAAACCCACAGACTCATCACACAGAGACCCACAGACTCATCACGCAGAGACCCACAGACTCATCACGCAGAGACCCATAGACTCATCACACAGAGACCCATAGACTCATCACACAGAGACCCATAGACTCATCACACAAAGACCCATAGACTCATCACACAGAGACCCATAGACTCATCACACAGAGACCCATAGACTCATCACACAGAGACCCATAGACTCATCATGCAGAAACCCATAGACGCATCACACAGACCCATAGACTCATCACGCAGAGACCCACAGACTGATCACACAGAGACCCACAGACTCATCACACAGAGACCCATAGACTCATCACACAGACCCATATACTCATCACACAGAGACCCATAGACTCATCACACAGAGACCCATAGACTCACCACACAGACACCCACAGACTCATCACACAGATACCCACAGACTCATCACACAGATACCCATAGACTCATCACACAGAGACCCATAGACTCATCACACAGACACCCACAGACTCATCACACAGATACCCATAGACTCATCACACAGAGACCCATAGACTCATCACACAGAGACCCATAGACTCATCACACAGAGACCCATAGACTCATCACACAGAGACCCATAGACTCATCACACAGACACCCACAGACTCATCACACAAAGACCCATAGACTCATCACACAGATACCCATAGACTCATCGCACAGAGACCCACAGACTCATCACACAGAGACCCATAGACTCATCACACAGAAAACCACAGACTTATCACACAAAGACCCATAGACTCATCACACAGAAACCCATAGACTCATCGCACAGAGACCCATAGACTCATCACACAGAGACCCATAGACTCATCATGCAGAGACCCATAGACTCATCACGCAGAGACCCATAGACTCATCACACAGACCCATAGACTCATCACACAGACCCATAGACTCATCACACAGAGACCCATAGACTCATCACACAGAGACCCATAGACTCATCACGCAGAGACCCATAGACTCATCACACAGACCCATAGACTCATCACACAGAGATCCAGACTCATCACAAAGAGACCCATAGACTCCTGACACAGACCCATAGACTCATCATTCAGAAACCCATAGACGCATCACACAGACCCATAGACTCATCACACAGAAATCCACAGACTCATCACACAGAGACCCATAGACGCATCACACAGAGACCCATAGATTCATCACACAGAGACCCATAGACTCATCACACAGAGACTCACAGATTCATCACACAGAAATCCACAGACTCATCACACAGATACCCATAGACGCATCACACAGATACCCATAGACGCATCACACAGAGACCCATAGACTCATCACACAGAGACAGATAGACTCATCACACAAAGACCCATAAACTCATCACACAGAGACCCATAGACTCATCACACAGATACCCATATACTCATCACACAGAGACCCATAGACTCATCACACAGAGACCCATAGACTCCTCACACAGAGACCCATAAACTCATCACACAGAGACCCATAGACTCATCACATAGAGACCCTTAGACTCATCACACAGAGACCCATAAACTCCCGACACAGACCCATAGACTCATCATGCAGAAACCCATAGACGCATCACACAGACGCATAGACTCATCACGCAGAGACCCACAGACTGATCACACAGAGACCCACAGATTCATCACACAGAGACCCACAGACTCATCACACAGAGACCGATAGACTCATCACGCAGAGACCCACAGACTCATCACGCAGAGACCCACAGACTCATCAAGCAGAGACCCACAGACTCATCACGCAAAGACCCACAGACTGATCACACAGAGACCCACAGACTCATCACGCAGAGACCCATAGACTCATCACACAGAGACCCACAAAATCATCACACAGAGACCCACAGACTCATCACACAGAGACCGATAGACTCATCACACAGAGACCGATAGACTCATCACGCAGAGACCCACAGACTCATCACACAGAGACCCATAGACTCATCACACAGAGACCGATAGACTCATCACGCAGAGACCCACAGATTCATCACACAGAGACCCATAGACTCATCACACAGAGACCGATAGACTCATCACGCAGAGACCCACAGACTCATCACGCAGAGACCCACAGACTCATCAAGCAGAGACCCACAGACTCATCACGCAAAGACCCACAGACTGATCACACAGAGACCCACAGACTCATCACGCAGAGACCCATAGACTCATCACACAGAGACCCACAAAATCATCACACAGAGACCCACAGACTCATCACACAGAGACCGATAGACTCATCACACACAGAGACCCACAGACTGAACACGCAGAAACCCACAGACTCATCACGCAGAGACCCACAGACTCATCACGCAAAGACCCACAGACTGATCACACAGAGACCCACAGACTCATCACGCAGAGACCCACAGACTCATCACGCAGAGACCCATAGACTCATCACACAGAGACCCATAGACTCATCACACAGAGACCCATAGACTCATCACACAAAGACCCATAGACTCATCACACAGAGACCCATAGACTCATCACACAGAGACCCATAGACTCATCACACAGAGACCCATAGACTCATCATGCAGAAACCCATAGACGCATCACACAGACCCATAGACTCATCACGCAGAGACCCACAGACTCATCACACAGAGATCCACAGACTCATCACGCAGAGACCCACAGACTCATCACACAGAGACCCATAGACTCATCACACAGAGACTCACAGACTCATCACACAGAGACCCACAGACTCATCACGCAGAGACCAACAGACTCATCACGCAGAGACCCACAGACTCATCACACAGAGACCCACAGACTCATCACACAGAGACCCACAGACTCATCACACAGAGATCCACAGACTCATCACGCAGAGACCCACAGACTCATCACACAGAGACCCATAGACTCATCACACAGAGACTCACAGACTCATCACACAGAGACCCACAGACTCATCACGCAGAGACCAACAGACTCATCACGCAGAGACCCACAGACTCATCACACAGAGACCCACAGACTCATCACACAGAGACCCACAGACTCATCACACAGAGACCCACAGACTCATCACGCAGAGACCAACAGACTCATCACGCAGAGACCCATAGACGCATCACACAGACCCATAGACTCATCACGCAGAGACCCACAGATTGATCACACAGAGACCCACAGGCTCATTACACAGAGACCCATAGAATCATCACACAGAGACCCACAGACTCACCACACAGAGACCCACAGACTCATCACACAGAGACCCACAGACTCATCACACAGAGACCCACAGACTCCTACGTACAGATATAAACACTTTAATTAAAACATTAAAACAAACATCTCACCTGCACAGACTCGGGCTTGCACGTCAATTCCCAGAGCCTCCAGGCCATCTTGCATGTGTCATCAGCGGCACCCACAGCCACACAAACCTTCTCCAGCTTCCTCCGCCACCCATCCTCTTCGGAATCGCTGCTGCTGGCGCTGTTGCTGCCGCTGCTGCTGCTTTCAGCACCCACACAGCGAAAACAAACAACCGTGCATTTCAGAATCATCGCGATCTTCATTTGTACTTGAGGAGGAATCCGATGGGTTTTCAAGCTCTTTTTTCAACAGATGGTCCAGTAGCAGCACACGTGTGGTTGTCAGAGTGTTACAACAAACGATGCTAAAACACGATAGGCGTGTAAAAGTATAGGAGTGTAAAGATCCAGACTCATCACACAGAGACCCATACTCATCACACAGAAACTTATAGACCCATCACACAGATACTCAAAGACGCATCAACCAGAGACCCATATACTCATCACACAGAAACCCACAGACGCATCACACACAGACCCATAGACTCATCACACAGAGACCCATAAACTCATCACACAGAGATCCAGACTCATCACACAGAAACCTATAGACCCATCACACAAATACCCATAGACGCATCACACAGAGACCCATAGACTCATCACACAGAGATCCAGACTCATCACACAGAGACCCATAGACTCATCACACAGAAACCCACAGACTCATCACACAGAGACCCATAAACTCATCACACAGAGACCCATAGACGCATCACACAGAGACCCATAGACTCATCACACAGAGATCCAGACTCATCACACAGAGACCCATAGACTCATCACACAGAAACCCACAGACTCATCACACAGAGACCCATAAACTCATCACACAGAGACCCATAGACTTATCACACAGAGATCCAGACTCATCACACAGAGACCCATAGACTCATCACACAGAGATTCATAGACTCATCACACAGAGATCCAGACCCATCACACAGAGACCCATAAACTCATCACACAGAGATCCATAGACAGACACACAGACTCATCACACAGAGACCCATAGACTCCCGACACAGACCCATAGACTCATCACACAGAGACCCATAGAATCCCGACACAGACCCATAGACTCATCACACAGAGACCCATAGACTCCCGACACAGACCCATAGACTCATCACACAGAGACCCATAGAATCCCGACACAGACCCATAGACTCATCACACAGAGACCCATAGACTCCCGACACAGACCCATAGACTCATTACACAGATACCCATAGACGCATCACACACTTGTTATTTTACCAGGTAAAGCCAACTGAGCTATCAGCTTCTTTTTCAGAAGTGCCCTGGGCGCAAATGATAGCTCAACTAAGTGGCTTTTTCGCGTGGGAATTGATAGCAAGCCATTTTTTTTTTAATAACTCTAAACGCGTGATGTTGATACTAAACGTAGAGGGGAAAAAATGGAGGACCCAAATAAAGAGAGACACGCAAACTCCAAATATACAGCAGGCGTCAGGGTCGAGATGATTGTATAGGCGCACACCAGAGGTCGCAACCGGGTACCCGATACCCGTACCCTACCCGATACCCGTACCGTACCCGGCCGGGTACGGGTAGCCGTTTGCGACCCTGGTGCGGCCGGGTACGGGTACGGGTAGGCCGTGAGTCACTGGTGAGTCACCGTTTGTCACTCATTTCCCAACGTCTTGTCTCTTCTCACAATTCAAGTTCCTAGAATCAACCCACCCGTGCCTGCACCATGGCTTCATACCCGGCCGGGTACGGGTAGCCGGGTATCGGGTAGGGTACGGGTACCCGTTTTCGACCCTGGTGCGGCCGGGTACGGGTACGGGTAAGGAATCAAAACCCGTTTGCGACCTCTGGCGCACACACCGATGACAAGATCTATCGATTGATAATCGTCGGAGAAGCCAATAAGGATAAAAAAACACATCTTAATTCATGCGTATATCCGAGAAACTCAGACCAGGTCTGGAAGAATGCTGGCAAAGAGAGTGGCGAACGATGCCATCGGACATCCGGAATAAGCGTTAGATTAGCACGGGATGCACGCTATTTCGTGAATAGCGGGGAAATACCGTGTTGCTAAAAAACAGTCGTACAATAATGCTTCTTGCGTTGACCGGGGTGCTATAATGTTAGAATTTTAGATGGGAGTGCTTTTTGCCAATAACATCCGACAAAAAACCTGGCTCTTGCCGATGAGGCCCATGATGTCAAAACCAGTCCAGAGTTTTCTTGCTATCGGCTGTTCCGCACTAATGTTTACAAATAGCTTTTAATGAACAAGCCAGAATCTTTCTGATGAGACCCAGGATGTCAAAACTAATCCAGAGTTCTCTTGCTATCGGCTGTTCCGCACTAATGTTTACAAATAGCTTTAGATTAGTTTAACACGTACAAGCTTTAATGAACAAACTAGACTCTTGCTGATGAGACCCAGGATGTCAAAACCAGTCCAGAGTTCGCTTGACATCAGCTGTTCCGCACTAATGTTTACACATAGCTTTAGAATAGTTTAACACGTACAAGCTTTAATTAACAAGCCAGACTCTTGCTGATGAGGCCCAGGATGTCAAAACTAATCCAGAGTTTTCTTTCTAGCGGCTGTTCCGCACTAATGTTTACCAATAACTTTAGATTAGTTTAACATGCACAAGCTTTAATGAACAAGCCAGACTCTTGCTGATGAGACCCAGGATGTCAAAACCAGTCCAGAGTTTTCTTTCTATCGGCTGTCCCACACAGAATGTTTCCCAGTAGCTTTTAATGAACAAGACTGACTCTTGCTGATGAGACCCAGGATGTCAAAACTAATCCAGAGTTGCTTGCTATCGGCTGTTCTGCACTGCTCACAAATAGCTTTAGATTAGTTTAACACGCACAAGCTTTAATGAACAAACTAGACTCTTGCTGATGAGACTCAGGATGTAAAAACGAATCCAGAGTTTTCTTTCTATCGGCTGTCCACACTAATGTTTATCAATAGCTTTAGAATAGTTTAACACGCACAAGCTTTAATGAACAAGCCAGACTCTTGCTGATGAGACCCAGGATGTCAAAACCAGTCCAGAGTTTTCTTGCTATCGGCTGTTCCACACAGAATGTTTCCCAGTAGCTTTTAATGAACAAGCCTGAATCTTGCTGATGAGACCCAGGATGTCAAAACTAATCCAGAGTTCTCTTGCTATCGGCTGTTCCACACTGTTTACCAATAGCTTTAGAATAGTTTAACACACACAAGCTTTAATGAACAAACTAGACTCTTGCTGATGAGGCCCATGATGTCAAAACCAGTCCAGAGTTTTCTTTCTATCGGCTGTCCCACACCGAATGCTTCCCAGTAGCTTTTAATGAACAAGCCAGAATCTTGATGATGAGACTCAGGATGTAAAAACGAATCCAGAGTTTTCTTGACATCGACTGTCCACACTAATGTTTATCAATAGCTTTAGATTAGTTTAACACGCACAAGCTTTAATGAACAAGACAGACTCTTGCTGATGAGGCCCATGATGTCAAAACCAGTCCAGAGTCTCTTGCTATCAGCTGTTCCGCACTAATGTTTACACATAGCTTCAGATTAGCTTAACACGTTCAAGCTTTGATTAACAAGACATACTCTTGCTGATGAGACCCAGGATGTCAAAACCAGTCCAGAGTTTTGTTTCTATCGGCTGTCCCGCACCGAATGTTTTCCAGTAGCTTTTAATGAACAAGACATACTCTTGCTGATGAGACCCAGGATGTCAAAACCAGTCCAGAGTTTTGTTTCTATTGGCTGTCCCACACAGAATGTTTTCCAGTAGCTTTTAATGAACAAGCCTGAATCTTGCTGATGAGACCCAGGATGTCAAAACTAATCCAGAGTTCTCTTGCTATCGGCTGTTCCGCACTGTTTACCAATAGCTTTAGAATAGTTTAACACGCACAAGCTTTAATGAACAAGCCAGACTCTTGCTGATGAGACCCAGGATGTCAAAACCAGTCCAGAGTTTTCTTGCTATCGGCTGTTCCGCACTAATGTTTACAAATAGCTTTAGATTAGTTTAACACGTACAAGCTTTAATGAACAAACTAGACTCTTGCTGATGAGACCCAGGATGTCAAAACCAGTCAAGAGTTTTCTTGACATCGGCTGTCCCGCACAGAATGTTTCCCAGTAGCTTTTAATGAACAAGCCAGAATCTTGCTGATGAGACTCAGGATGTCAAAACTAATCCAGAGTTTTCTTGACATCGACTGTTCCGTACTAATGTTTACCAATAGCTTTAGATTAGTTTAACACGCACAAGCTTTGATTAACAAGCCAGACTCTTGCTGATGAGGCCCAGGATGTCAAAACCAGTCCAGAGTTTGCTTGCTATCGGCTGTTCCGCACTGTTAACAAATAGCTTTAGATTAGTTTAACACGCACAAGCTTTGATTAACAAACTAGACTCTTGCTGATGAGACCCAGGATGTCAAAACCAGTCCAGAGTTTTCTTGACATCGGCTGTTCCGCACTGTTTACAAATAGCTTTAGAATAGTTTAACACGCACAAGCTTTAATGAACAAACTAGACTCTTGCTGATGAGGCCCATGATGTCAAAACTAATCCAGAGTTCTCTTGCTATTGGCTGTTCCGCACCGAATATTTACCAGTAGCTTTTAATGAACAAGCCAGAATCTTGCTGATGAGACCCATGATGTCAAAACCAGTCCAGAGTTTTCTTTCTATCGGCTGTTCCGCACCGAATGTTTCCCAGTAGCTTTTAATCAACAAGCCTGAATCTTGCTGATGAGACCCAGGATGTCAAAACCAGTCCAGAGTTTTCTTGACATCAGCTGTTCCGCACTAATGTTTACAAATAGCTTTAGAATAGTTTAACACGCACAAGCTTTGATTAACAAGACTCACTCTTGCTGATGAGACTCACTGTCAAAGCCGGTTCAGAATTGCACTTGGGACAAATTCTTCTGGATAATATTGGGTCTGCAAAGCCAATAAATAAGATGCCAATATGGGGTAATAACTGTAGTTTTTATATGTTAGAGAAGTCTCATACATCGTAACGAGAGTTGTGTTTTCGATGGGGGGTTGTTTTTACACTTGTTAGTTTAGTCCCAAAAACATTTTAAAAATCCCTAGAATCTGAGATAAAACAATTGTTTTAACACTTTTGTCGGCTTTTGCGACAAATATTATTCGTAATTAACGCTTCAACAACTACCGGTGGGCTAAAGCAGTGAACTATTTTGTCTTTTGTCAACGTGACACTTTTGTTTTGCTGATTGGCCGTGTCGGGTGGTGGAGGGTTACGACACATTTATAAATAACGTGATCTAAACCCAACAACGTTGATTATATTTTGATTTAAAGCTTTCGTGACTGCAGGGATTCATAGTCTTGTTTTTTTTATCAAACTTTCTTTGCTGTGGATTTCACACCTGATGACGATTGCTTGTGTTTATATTTATATTATTTTATTATTTCCCTTCTACGTGACTTTACCGAAAGAATAAAACGTTGATTACGTTCTAACACTCTTTCCGCTTATTCGGGATGACTTTTTAAAATGTTTTTTTTGCGTAAAATCAACATCACTTAGCAAAAGCGTGACTCGTAACTTCAAAATCATCATCTTTAAAGGCAACACAGCAAAGGCGATTAATCCACCGTTCATCTGGAGCACACGTTAACTTTAAAACAAACTTTGCTTAAAAGCGAACTTTAAAGCAACTCGATATGCGCAGAACGTGTTCTGATACTGCTGCTACTGCACCAGTCCAATGATTCAACGCTTGCTTAGCCTTTAAACATACAAGTGACACGTTATTATTATTAGTAGTGTGTGTGTGTATATATATACGATGTGGTGGTGGTGGTAATCGGCGACGTTTCAGGTCTTCCACCTGAGAACGGCTGCTTGCGTTGCGACCGAAACGTCGTGAGAATTTTATTTTTATTCTTTTATTATTTCCCTTTTACGTGACTTTACCGAAAGAACCAAGGTAATGGATATTGTCGACGACAGGATTTCGTTGAGGTGTAAAAACAACAAAAACACCGCACAACTCGACAAAACGCGCGGCCCCTTCAACGGGGAGGCCAGTTGCCCGAAACGTCTGTCCGGTTGACGTATTTCCATTGATTTTTAACGAGTTTGGGGGTAACGAAGCAATGATTTATGAGGTAAAACAATGTTATCCAACTCGTACTACACCGATGTAGAACGTTTTTGTTTTAATTTGTTAACTTTTTTTTTTAACGACGAAACGCGTTGCGGCCTAGCGAGACCGACTCCCCTCTCCTCCTGCGGTTGAACCATCCCCGAAACGTCGGCCCCCGTCGTCGTTTACCTGACGAGCGAAGTGGTTGAACTGTGGTGGCCACCACCTTCCTTGATGGACATCATCAGCGCCACCACCACCACCAACAACCACCACCAAACACAGCGGGTTGTTGTTGTTGCGTGTAGTTGAATTGCGAGTTGTCGCTTGTAATTTTTTGCTATTCTCTTTAATCGTATCGCTGCTTTTTCCTCCTTCTTTAAAAACGTCCCATTCTCGTCTTTGCCCGATGCGCGCGGTTTTATTTCTAATTTTTTAATAATTGTTAATTTTTCCCCTCAGGTCACACTCGGCCCTCAATTTTCGCGCGCAATCCACCTTCCCCCGTCGGAAGGGGGGGGGGGGTGCGAACAGGCCACGCGAAAGTTCGTCTGACGTCGGTGTCCGACGGCAGAGTTTGGGTCCTCTATAAGGAGGAGGATGACGAGGAGAGCTTGCGAGCAACTGGGGTTGGAAGTCACTGGAAAGACGGGAACGGGTGGTGAGAGATGGGGGGGGTCAAAGTGGGCGTGGTTTAAGAGGGGGGAGGGGCTCGGGGGATGTTGTGGATGGGTGGGGGAGGTCAAAGTGGGCGTGGCTTAAGAGGGGGGAGGGGCTCGGGGGATGTTGTGGGTGGGTGGGAGGGGTGGGGGGGTCAAAGTGGGCATGGTTTAAGAGGGGGGAGGGGCTCGGGGGATGTTGTGGGTGGGTGGGAGGGGTGGGGGGGTCAAAGTGGGCGTGGTTTAAGAGGGGGGAGGGGCTCGGGGGATGTTGTCTGTGGGTCAAAGTGGGCGTGGTTTAAGAGGGGGGAGGGGCTCGGGGGATGTTGTGGGTGGGTGGGAGGGAAGGGGGGGTGGCCGCACGCGTGCGCGGACGGTGCAGCAACCGGAAGTGAGAGGGACGTCTCGCGCCGAGCGCGGGAAAATCCACTTCCGGGAGTTGACCCCGCCCACCCATGACACGCGCACGTGCGCGTGTGTGAGGGGGGAGGAGGAGGAGGGGGGTGGGGGGGGGTGTTCGCGGTGGGAGGGGGGGGGGGAAGTTTTCTGGGGGGGGGGGGTCACGTGACAAGTGGAGGGGGGGTGTTCGCGGTGGGAGGGGGGGGGGGGAGTTTGGGGTGTCACGTGACAAGTGGAGGGGGTGGGGGGGAGTTTGGGGTGTCACGTGACAAGTAGAGGGGGTGAGTTCGCGGTGGGGGGGAGTTTTCTGGGGGTGTCACGTGACAAGTGGAGGGGGTGGGGGAGTTTGGGGTGTCACGTGACAAGTGGAGGTGGAGAGTTCGCGGTGGGGGGGAGTTTTCTGGGGGGGGGTCACGTGACAAGTGGAGGGGGTGGGGGGGGGGAGTTTTCTGGGGGGGGTCACGTGACAAGTGGAGGGGGTGGGGGGGGGGAGTTTTCTGGGGGGGGTCACGTGACAAGTGGAGGGGGAGAGTTCGCGGTGGGGGGGGAAGTTTGGGGGGGGGGGGTCACGTGACTTAGTGGGGGGAGTTTGGGGGGTCACGTGACAAGTGGCGGTGGTGGGGGGGGGAGTTTTGGTGGGAGGATCACGTGACAAGTGGGGGGGGGGCTACGTCAGAATGGCGGGAGGGGGGGAATTTGGTCGGTCACGTGACGCCGACATTGCGGTGGCTATGGGGAGGGTGGGAGGGGGTCGGGTCACGTGACACAATGACGTAGCGGGGGGTGGTTTGTGCCGGATTATAAGACGCAGTTTAAATTCCCACTGTCATAAGGGGTTGACAGGTATGTAGTGTATAGTGTAGTGTATAGTGTAGTGTATAGTGTAGTATATAGTGTGTAGTGTAGTGTATAGTGTAGTGTATAGTAGTGTAGTGTATAGTGTAGTGTATAGTGTAGTGTATGGTAGTGTAGTGTATAGTGTAGTGTATAGTGTAGTGTATAGTGTAGTGTATAGTAGTGTAGTGTATAGTGTACTGTATAGTAGTGTAGTGTATAGTGTAGTGTATAGTGTAGTGTATCGTGTATAGTGTAGTGTATCGTGTAGTGTATAGTGTAGTGTATCGTGTAGTGTATAGTGTAGTGTATAGTGTAGTGTATAGTGTAGTGTATAGTGTAGTATGTAGTGTAGTGTGTAGTGTATAGTGTAGTGTATAGTGTAGTGTATAGTGGTGTATCGTGTAGTGTGTAGTAGTGTATAGTGTAGTGTGTAGTGTAGTGTGTAGTGTAGTGTATAGTGTAGTGTATAGTGTAGTGTATAGTGTAGTGTAATAGTGTATAGTGTAGTGTATAGTGTAGTGTCTAGTGTAGTGTATAGTGTGTACTAGTGTATAGTGTAGTGTATAGTGTATTGTATAGTGTAGTGTATAGTAGTGTATAGTGTAGTGTATAGTAGTGTATAGTGTAGTGTGTAGTAGTGTATAGTAGTGTATAGTGTAGTGTATAGTAGTGTATTATGTAGTGTATAGTGTAGTGTATAGTGGTGTATAGTGTAGTGTATAGTGTAGTGTATAGTAGTGTAGTGTATAGTGTAGTGTATAGTAGTGTAGTGTATAGTAGTGTATAGTAGTGTATAGTGTAGTGTATAGTAGTGTATAGTGTAGTGTATAGTGTAGTGTATAGTGTAGTGTATAGTATGTGTGTAGTGTATAGTAGTGTATAGTGTAGTGTATGGTGTAGTGTATAGTAGTGTATAGTGTAGTGTATGGTGTAGTGTATAGTAGTGTATAGTGTAGTGTATGGTGTAGTGTATTATGTAGTGTATAGTGTAGTGTAAAGTATTGTACAGTAGTGTATAGTGTAGTGTATAGTGTAGTGTATAGTGTAGTGTATAGTATAGTGTAGTGTATAGTGTAGTGTATAGTGTAGTGTATAGTAGTGTATAGTGTAGTGTATAGTAGTGTAGTGTATAGTGTAGTGTATAGTGTAGTGTATAGTAGTGTATAGTAGTGTAGTGTATAGTGTAGTGTATAGTAGTGTATAGTGTAGTGTATAGTAGTGTATAGTGTATGGTAGTGTAGTGTATGGTGTAGTGTATAGTTTAGTGTATCGTGTAGTGTATAGTAGTGTATAGTGTAGTGTATAGTGTAGTGTATAGTGTAGTATATAGTAGTGTATAGTGTAGTGTATAGTGTAGTGTATAGTGTAGTGTATAGTAGTGTAGTGTATAGTAGTGTAGTGTGTAGTGTAGTGTGTAGTGTAGTGTATAGTGTTAGTGTGTAGTGTAGTGTCTAGTAGTGTAGTGTATGGTAGTGTAGTGTATGGTGTAGTGTATAGTAGTGGTATAGTAGTGTAGTATATAGTGTAGTGTATAGTGTAGTGTATAGTGTAGTGTGTAGTGTAGTGTATAGTGTAGTGTGTAGTGTAGTGTATAGTAGTGTAGTGTATAATAGTGTAGTGTATGGTTGTAGTGTATAGTAGTGTAGTATATAGTGTAGTGTATAGTGTAGTGTATAGTGTAGTGTATAGTGTAGTGTGTAGTATAGTGTGTAGTATAGTGTATAGTGTAGTATATAGTGTATAGTGTAGTGTATAGTGTAGTGTATAGTGTAGTGTATAGTGTAGTGTATAGTGTATAGTGTAGTGTATAGTGGTAGTGTATAGTGTAGTGTATAGTAGTGTAGTATATAGTGTATAGTGTAGTGTATAGTGTAGTGTATAGTGTAGTGTATAGTGTAGTGTATAGTGTAGTGTATAGGATGAACGTTGAGATTTATAAGAGGCACGGGGTGACCAATGAGGTCTCACTTTGTCATAAGGCAGGACACTGATAAGGAGTTGACAGCGATGTGATGTCGTATGTTGAATTTCTTTGGTACCGTACGTAGCAGACTTTGGGGCCGTCCATAAATGACGTCACGCACCTAGAGGGGAGGGGGGGTTGAGAAATGTGACGTCACATCAAAATGCAAAACTTTAAATCAATTCAGACAACACGTTCTACTTAATTAAATAGACTTTTTAATAAATGTTTTCTCCTACAACATCAGATCGCAGCGCCACATTGAATACGCACTACAATGACAATACTTTAAAGCGATTTGAAGCATGTTTTAGTTCAAAATCGCGTGACGTCATTTATGGACGGTCCCTTGAGGGATTTTGTCTGACAGTCCGGCAGGTCTGTGTGTGTGTGAGATGAGACTCGGGTGGGGAGCGGTGGTGCAGCGGTTAGCGCTACGAACCCGGGTCCTGGGCCTCCCCAAGGTCGACTCAGACTCAAATGAGTAACCTAGCGCGGTGTGTAGTAAACATCGCCACTGGGGAGACAAAGGCGGCCGGGCGTGGGTTCAAGTTTAAGTTCATGTATTAGGTATAGCCTTGTGAGCCATTCGGCTCTTGAATCGGGTGCAACCGCAACAAACAAAAAATAAAAACATGAACAAAAAAACATCTTAAAGTGAATATGTGACTGAGTGCAAATAGAAAATCCAAGAAAAGACAGCAAAATAATGCAGAAAAAACACCGTACACCAACGCTGTGTGCAAACATCCCAGTGGGATGCAAGTCAAACAACAACAACAACCACAAGACAACTTAGATTTAGGCCATCAGTCTAACTCTGTACTACAACAAACAAACATGGCTAAACCAAATACACTTGTCGAAATCACCAAAATACAGCTATGAAAGCAATGAAAAAGCAATCATAGGAACTGTGACGGAATTTTCACAATAAATGGCATAAACAACATGTACTACCTTTTTTATTCTTGGTTCTTTCGGTAAAGTCACGTAGAAGGGAAATTATAAAAATAAAACATAATAAAATATTATGTTTTATAAAAATAATAAAATATTATTTTTATTATTTTATTACTTATGTAAAGTAGTAACTTGGCGGGAGACGACTTCACGGGTAGCACACTCTTTTTATTAACACCAAACTGTTACACGGGTGACTAACACTCACTCAGCTACTCGGGTGACTAACACCCACTCAGCTCCACGGGTGACTAACACCCACTTAGCTACTCGGGTGACTAACACCCACTCGGCTACTCGGGTGACTAACACCCACTCAGCTACACGGGTGACTAACACCCACTTAGCTACTCGGGTGACTAACACCCACTCAGCTACACTGACACGGGCTCTTACGCCCCCGTAGCCTTCCGGAACACACCCGGCTGGGGTGTCCGTCTCGGCTCTGGGTACCACCGTCCCGACCCACACGGGCGTCGGACTACGGTCCCCCCAGTCTCGGCTCCGAGCCACACAGGGCCCCTACCTCCTCCACCCCGTCTTCGGTCTTCAACTGGTTAACACTGACCACGAGTGCTCTCGCGCGTCCCCCTTTATACCCTCCTGCGGACGTCGCTGAGAGCACCCACTTATCTGACCAATCACTGCACACTCGCTACGATCCTCTTTTCCCAGCTTGTGTGAGCGCGCCTCACCACCGGCGCGCGCGTCCATCCCACGCCCACACTGCGTGCCCAACCCCGCGCCCCGTGATCCATCACTGCCGGCGCACGTCAACACCACCACTACATATAGGTGCTTCTACTCGC